CACAGCAATACCAAGGTACCCTACCTTACTTGTTGACGACGGGAGGACGAGGACGACGAGTGATCGATCTGCTGCTCTCCTCTCAAAGAGCCGTTGCCGCGAACGCTAACAAGACGCAGACCCAGACTAAGCAGCAAACCCAGACTAAGCAGCAACGATGGGCGGGGATCCCGGAAAGTGCAGGTTCGTTGTCGTGTGAGGAGCGTGGGAAGTCTCGGCCAGATGCGATGCAGGGCGATTTCGATGCTGATGGAGGGTTTTTGGCGACTTCTAGAGTCTAGTCCAGCGGGCTAGGTAGAATGATGGAACGGCTCACGACTGGTGTGGTTGGTCGTTGATGATGCTAACCAGTATTATCCCACTCTCAGTCTGAGTACCTATGAATGTGTCTGAACTTGGTGGCTAGAATCAATGGGAACCAAGGGCGGGACTGACAGGAGATGGTGAACGACGTCTTGAGCTACTGCGTAGTTCCATATGCTAGCAGTGATACCCCAATGTTTCTGACAGAGACCATGGAAATCGATACGACTAATCAATCATAGAATTCTGAGGATGGTGGTTGACAATGACACGCGCACTAGTAATGACTCGATGCCGAGTGGCTGAAGACGGTCACAGAACGACAGAAAATGACGAAGATGAGAATCCCAGCGGGGTCGGCGGCGACGGCAAGGTCAGTCTAGTTATTACTACATCATACAATTCTTCATTCATCGAGTGGGATGAACGCGGCCCCATTGAGGGGTGAGGGGGAGAAAAAGTCAAGGCAATTCTTCATGTGCGGGGCACGTCAGGGAAAATAAACAACCCCGTGACATGGACGATGAATATTTTCCTACAATTATCGTGGGCTTCATCCACCCAGATGCTCCTCCGTGGTTGATCGGTACCTGCCTGGCCTTGGGTTCTGCCGACAACTCGGGACTGGGACCTCGGACACAACTGCGATTGGGTACTGGCAACGACCAGGGACTCGAAGAGATGGCAACAAGAAAACATCACCAAATGGCAGGCTGAGTACTTCGTATTTCCAGGGACGAGAGACCCGGGCCCGGGAGACCAAGACGTGGGACGACCTGGACAATGGGGCCGGGCTGTTGACTCGCTCTAGAATTCGGAAAGACCCACCCAGGCCAGAGGAATCCCGGCCTATTTTTGAGTCCTTTTGAATCTTTGACGAATTCTTGTGAATTGCTACTCATTGTCTCTCACTGTACTCTGTATGTAATAACTCGAAGGCCGTCTTGTCGTCGCGTGCCAGTGGGGACGGAACGAAGCCTTGCTGGGAAATGGGGACGTTTCAATGGAGACAATGAATTCTTCGTATGTAAAGCGTTACTCTATAGCGGTGCGCTAACATCCAAAGGAGATTCGCGGCGGAGTAGGGGTCGCAGAGGCCAAGGCATGCCGGGAATTGCGAGTGGTTGATTCGTTTCTGAGCATGTCCAGCATGGTTTGACCGCACCTTAGCTGCTGCGGACGCTCATGTAGGTAGATGCGCCGTTGTGGTGCAACTGCTCCGTCAAACGTCTCTGATCCAAAATGAGAGTGGAGGAGACGAAACTGACTGAGGCATTATACGGGCCGCAAGGCAATGGAGTTACAGGCTGGCCGCGCTAGGTAGGGTAGGGTCAAGTTCCGAAAGTTGCAATGATGAATCGCAAGGCGGTTTGAGACAAATTGTCTGGCCGGTCGTCATGAAAGAAATTGAAGAATAACCCCGTCCCCAGGATACGGATACCGAGTACCGTACCGGAGTATTTCGCGGCGTAGCTATTTGCGAATAAGTCGGTCAAACCTCCCACGAGCGGCGAGCAATTGCCAATGGCAGGCCGCAGAGCAGAGCCAAATAAACTCCGCACGTTCTCCGTTGCGGTCATGGGTGGTTGTAGCCTCGTAGGGAACAGTGCTTTGCATCCCAGATTGCTGAGTATTCGGGATTCTCGACGTTCCAAGAATTCCCGAGCCCAATGTCCCTGACCTGGTTCAGCTTTCTTTTTCCTCGTGTCTCTTGTTGCCCAACCCGACAGTGGGAAACCAGGGTTGTCTTGTTGTTCTCCTCTTCCTTTCTCGAGAAAATGGGGAGGGGCCAAAACCCGACGCAACCGCAAGCAGCTAACTGGACTAAGAAGGACCGTAGCACTCCAGTCTCCCAGTCTCCCCCCTGATCGGAAAGAAGCAGTATCCCTGTCGGCCGGATGTGGATAGTGGACAAGAGGGCTGCAAGCAAAGACCCAGTTGGACCGCGAGTGGCAGGCTTGCTAGGATGTGACTTGGCGCAATGGAAGGAATTCAAACGAGGGGTAGAATTGTCCACATCTTCCAGAAGCATTCCAGCGAGTGGGCTGGAACTTGGGGACCAGGAACGGTGCACGGCCGCCAGTGAGGTGCAATGCACGATGGCACGGTCAAAGGAAAAGGCGGGTTTTCTGGTGACGTTGCCAATTGCCTCGCCATCTGCTCTGTAAGCAGGCACTTGAAAGTTCTTGAGCTTCGGGCATGGTCTTGGTCTGCTCCACTAAAGGGTTCGGAATAGCTCGCAGAGTCGTTGTCCAGATGGATGTGAAGACCAAGTCGATTTGGCCTGGGGTTTGCGGGTGAGGATACCTCGTCAATACTTGCTGGTGACCGACGACGGCAGTGAGTGACCTGTATGAAAATAGCTGCTTGGCAAAACGTGAGCTGTATCCGTACACGAGTTGAGGTACCTCGAATTATGATGGTGTTCTACCGCGGTCATCGGCCGAGCAAGCACAGAAAAGGGGGATCGAGGCGTGCGAGTTCGGGTCCCTAACTTCCTTGAGGTTTGTGGTGCTTGTTCCGTTTGGACTCTCGGTGTTTCTGTCGTTTCCTGGTGGATTCTCTCTTTTTTTCTTCTTTTTCCCTTTCTGGGTGTTCAGATGCAGGCTACCTAGGCATCGACCGAGGCAGGCGTAGGCGCAGGCGCACGCCGCATGCTGACCCCCCCCCCCCCCTCCCCCAGACAAGTCACAAGAGTTGCTTCCGTACACGACGGTGCAAAATGTGAGAAAGGTGAGTAAGGTATGCATACCTTAGGGGTCTTGGTAGATGAACGGGGCAAGCCGCAAGTGAGGAGAATGGAAGACCTTGTCAAAGTTGCGTCGTCTTCGCGACTGAAAATTAAGATCCCATCTCGCCCAAAGGTGCTCCTTCCCTCTCGAGTGTCGAGTTCGCGCATCGGTCTGGGGTTTGGTTTCGCACGAGTGAGAGTCGGGAAGGAGGGGATGAGGTAATGCGGGGCTCTGTGGCTCTTTCCCGTACGGAGTCGCGGACTGTGGTCGGGACCTCGTCACTCGCGCCTTCCGTTCGGACTTCAGAGTTCACGTGGAAGGTTCGGATCCTCTGTACCTGCCCCGTACACCTTGTCACTTGCATCTGCGCATTCCTAAATTCTCAATCTTGACCTGATGGACCCAACCGGGACCTGCCACTGGACGCCACCGGATCGCCAGCACCGCTCATCGGTGCAAAGTGCAAGAGCGGTGCAGCGGTGCAAATGCAAACAAGCAGGTGCAGTAAAGTGAGGTGCGGCAGGCGCAGACATAAGGTAGGCGCGCAGGGTCCCAAACGTCCGGCTACCTCACCTTAGCACCTTCACCTGAGCTTACCACAAGACTTTACCATGCAGTTGCCACTTTACCTGACCTTAATAAGTTGCACATCTCACTTATCCAAGTGTTTCGGCGACAACACGTCTCGGGGCCGAGAACCGGCCAAGCTTGTTTTGGACTCTCTCGGTCTATGCCTCAATCCTGATCCATGATCCATCCACCGTACTTCGTACCCATCGCCAGAGAATGAATGACAGCCAGCCAGCCTACCTTACCTTGGCTACATGTGCCCAAGGTGGTCTAGCACCCGGTTTAGCACTTCCTGATTCCCTTCGACCTACCTACCTTAGCCCTGCTTAGCTCCCAACTGTCAGTTGTCACTGCTGCCTCTCAACTTGCTCGACTGTCACTGACCGCATCGCCTTGTCATCGTCATCTCAGCTACGGATACCTGTACCTTGGATAGGAAACGCAAAGCTGGTCTGTATGTAACTTTTCCTTGCACTCTTCACCTCCAACGCGGCTGGCGCTAACTCTAACCAGCAAAGACCCAACGGGCAGCGTTTGTCTCTCCTGAGTCTCCTCCTTACTTACTCACTTACGCAGCTCCGGAAACATTACCGGCGGCATTATGTACTAGCGCCCTCTTCCTTGACTCGTTTGACCGCAAAAGGACATTGGGACCTCACGTATCAAAACACCAGACGAAAATACGTCCGACATACTTACACTCTACGTGCAGAAACTTGACGAGATTCCACTGGGGCCTGCAAACTCAATCCAGTCGTCCCAAGTCCTTTTCGCCAGCACGGCGGCATAGCGATCCTTTGTGTTTCCATTTATCACGCTCAGATCCGGCCTCGTCATTTGACCCCAGTATCAACCCCTGTTTTGCAAAGAACCTCAACTACGGATACATCCTTAGAGTACAACACCCATACCAAGCATGTGATTGTTTGATCAGAACCCTGGTCCTTAGTCCCAACTGACTCTGTCCCTCACCGGGCCAGGCATGGGCGAAGACTTGGATCACCCATGGAAACAGAAGAAAACTTGTCGTGTCGTTGAGCTCAGGAGAGTAAACGACACGTTTTCTACGTGTAATGGCAGTCTCCGTCATACCGCATACTGCTACGGCGGTGTAGACGTGCATTGGAGCCTCATTGCCCTCGTCACCGCTTACTTTGGGGCGGGCTTACATGGCAGAAATTCCATCAGCTCAGCTGAGCTGCGACGTCGCTTCGGCCCGGGATATCTCTAGTCTCCCAAACATGGCCATTTCCCGGTTCTTCGCCTGTATCCGCAACGCTCCAAACACTTTTCAGTGGCAACCACCGACCACATTCTGCTACTCCAAACCATGGGTCCGCACTCGACCGCTGGCTAATACAACGATAGAGAACGCTGCGAAAGCTTGGTAGATTCAGGAACATCCGAGAGATTAAGGAAGTCTTCCGGCTGGTCATAAAGCAACGCTCAGACTCGACACATGCCTTTCGCAGCTGTCAGTTCACTGTAATTACCTTTCCCCGGATCCCCTCACCTGCGCTGCCGGACAAGTCACAATTGGACTGCTTATCTCGACTTCATGCTTTCTGTTATCCGCAAATCAGATCATCAGACAACTGACAGGAATTGTCCCGACTCAATCTCATCCCATGGTCTCTGTGACTTGGTTCTACGCTCCCTCATTCCCTTCGTCTCACCGCCTCAACTTGACCTCACCTCAACACCACCCATCCAAGACACCTCGCAACCTGCATCACGGATCGTGGCCTCTCTCCTGAGGGCCAACTATCCCTGCCATATGGAGCCTTGCCCTCCTCTTATCCCAATACAGCCTCGCTTCTGCTCCCAACTGCCGCCCGTTGGGCCAACTCATCTCACCCACACCATCATCGGCCTGCATCCACACACACAAACTTATACTCACACACTCACACACCTGTGCTGTCAAGTCCACCGCCCAAACCTTCCGCCGACATTGAATTTCGTCCATATAATTGTCTGAGGAAAGCTTCCGTGGCCCCGCGGCGATGAGGGCTAAGTTCCAAATCCTGCGCGATGTTTGGGCGCTTGGCCTGACTGAGCTCAAGCTCTATGACCCGGCGCTCGCGGAAAGTGTCGTCCGTGATCCGGAATTAAGGATCCAGACAGCCTTCTGGTAGGCACTGAAAGACTGTCACTATCTACACTACCGGGACACCCTCAACTAGGTACGAAAATTGGATACACACGCAAGCACTTCTTCAATCGGAATTCACTCTGCCCCTCTTCTTTCGCTATGGCCTTTCTTGCGCCCGCCCGTCTTCTATCAGGTCGCCCCCTCTCACGATGATGATCGACTTACAAGAAATTCGCTTTTCAGAGCAGCAGCCGGCGGCGGGACGTAGCGTAAGCCACCATGCATGGCAACGTCTGGGCAGCCCGGGGTTAAGGAGATCGACTCGCTCTCGGTCCTCAACGGGAGAGATGCTCGTTCTGGCCGGTGTGGCCGTCCAACCTTGCAGCTCTCGATGCGCCGCTACCATGTGTCAGGCCCTCGCTTCGGTGAGCGTGCCGGCGCCGTTCTATGCCAGTCATGGGCGAAGGAAAACGCACAGACATCTCTGGATGGTCCATACCACGCTGATATTCGCATGCGACTGGACGTCAACCTACACATGACGGTAGCATTGCCTGCATCATCATTCCCAGAACTGGACCTCCAACGTTTTGCTCGCAAGCTGTAGGAAACTAGCGGATTGTCTCGCGCATGCGCTGGCTGAACCGCAGCGGGCAAAAGAGAACAGCCGGCTGCGCCCTCCCACTCGTGCTTCCGTGCGCCGGCTGCATATCTGGATCTGGGGTTCTCGAAGGGCCACTCATTTGCTGATTCATCTCGTCTCCCCACGCGCCCCCCTGCCGTTGTAACTTGTGATGAGATGCGCTACTTCGTACACCTCGCATCAAGTAGCCCGACATGCTCCGTGCTTTTCTGTCGTGTAACAACGGCACAGGATGCCACTGCAGTATAGCTCATCTGCTTCAAGTCTTTCTCAAGGCGTTGGTCGCTTCCGAAGGCTGACAAAATGCGCTAGCCATACGTATCACCACCACCTTTTCAAAGAAGAAGCGAGGGTTCTAACGACGGTCACACAACTGCCGGGCCAAAGCAGTATACGAATATTCCTGAGAGTCGCGCTCTTATGCCAGCCACTAGAAACAGGTGCTTCTTTGTTATTCCACGACAAGATCAGACAGCGGGGAATTCAAAGTGATCGATGTTTTCGCCGCCTGCTACCAGCACGACGGGACGGTCATAACGACCCCCCTGGAAAACCAAGACAAACCGGCACTCAATTAGCCGCGCCGGTCCGAAATGCCTTCATCGTCCACACTCCCGAGGTCCACATCGGATCATCCAAGCCATCCTTCATCTCATCTTTTTCCTCTTGTGTCCATCAAAGCCGGCCAAGAAATACCTACAACTGACCACCGGCCGGTGTGAGAATGGTCTCCACCAAGACCAACTTACGACAAGCAGGATAATACTTGACTCTCGGCAGAAAGCCCTCGGCGTATGTTCACCGAGCATGTTCATCTTTGGTTCCATTTCCCGCCTCTCTCCCGGTGGCCGGCCGTTGGCCCAACTTAGTCCGACAAGGGCCTCTCCACCCGCCGTCGTGGATGACAAGGGTTCACAATCCCAGCGAGCTGGCTTCGTTCGTGCGCCTTGATTTTTCCGGTGACTCTTTTCTTTTAGAGTTGATTACAAGGAACGTTTGGACTATTGAAGCTGCTCACTGAAGTTTTCTCGACGGCCGAGCATCTGTACTTCACCAATATCGAAACGTAAACCGTTGATACCGACTTTTGGCCAATATTGCTGACTAGGCACTTCAACATGCTGCCTTGACGATCCCATGGAACATTGGACTTTGGCTGCCTGGCATAATCTTAATTTCTCTCGTCACTATCACATGGGGCCTGGGGTAAAGATAGAGCGCGGCCTCACCCGTCCGCTAGCCCGCCCTCATCTTTGATACATGTTTCTCACAAATTACGGACTATTGGCGGACAAACGCTGCGGATTGGGTTATGCGTATCTCTTTTCCTTCGCGAAAACTCCTTCCCCCAGACCACCCCAGAGACGCAGAGACGGCCGCCGCCCCCGCCGCCCCCTCCTCACCCTCCCTTTCCCGTCCACGACCAACCAACCCCGGGGCGGGAAAGGGAGGGCTGCTGACCAACACCCCCGGTTCGAAATCTCACACCGAGACGGGAGTCCCCGGAACCGGTCAGCGCGATGGGATGTCAGTCCCGTCCGCTCCCCGCCATGTGACGGTGACATGCCATGTCGAATTGTCGATAAAGCGTGGACGGGCGCAAAATGCCCCGCTACTGATGCCGGGGACAAGAGGAAACGTGATTTTGAGTTTCTGGTGTGCAAAAGTCGCTTCCTTCACTGGGGGCAGGATTTCCATCACACATCCCGAGGCTTCTGCCGACCGAGGGTATGTCTGGAGTCGGTCCGAAGGTTGTCTGTTGACTCTTACCCATAGCCTCGCGGAGTTAACACATGGCTTACTGATTTGCTGAGTTAGGTCCCGGCATTGAAGACATCGCCGAATCCGAAGCAGAGAGACAAGTATACGCATAAGGATAGTTGTGGTAGTTGTCGTTTGTCGTTACTGCTCATCCACCCTGGCCCGTCCATCCATCCATCCATCTCTTGCGAAAAAGGCCGATTCCGTGGAAATATGAGCTATCAGAAAACCAGGGAATCGAAGCGCCAGGAATCGATGGGGGATCAGATCGCCCGCTTTCTTCGTTGAAGAATTTCATGTTTCCTCCCCTCCTAATCTCCCCCCCCCCCCCCCCCCCCCTCACCCACCCTCCATTATTCCCTCTTTCGCCCGGATGGATCCTACCGGTTGAAGGATTTCGTTCGCAGTTGGTCATAGGGGGTAAGGTGAGTAACGTGAGTATAGTGAGGTAACGTAAGAAAGGATGATAAGGAGGGAAAGGGGGGGGGGGGGGGGGGTCAGCTACGGAAGTAGAGCTGTATGCCGGGTATGAGAGAAAAGCAGCACCCTAACCCCTTCCGTCTCTACTTGAGCAATCGAGTAGGCAAGCAGGTAATTAAGGTAAGGTTAGGTTGATTCATTCAACAAAGTGGTTTAGATTCCCGCTGGCCCAAAAAAAAACCCCCCGGTAGCCCAACGGGTAAAAAACATACTGGTAGATTGGTGCTTTTCTGGAAACAAATGAGCAATTACGTATGTCGCATCCTGCCTTTGCACATTTACGAAGCTATACCAAGCTTCATTGCTGGCTCTTCTGGGGGACAATGCGAAAACAGTCAAGATAGGGGGGGAAAGAAAGACTCAAAAGAGAACGGATTCAACTTGTTTGGCCGCATCAGCTTCCCTAAACTCACTTGGCAGCTTATAGTCGTAAGCTTGGATTGAAGGGACAGGTCTTTGCAAGTGTTTCTTTTCATGATGATACCCTCTTGCTCTTATGGGGGGGGGAGGGGTATGTGTGTGTATTTCATGGGCAGCCCATGTGGTTCCGCTCTAGGCGGAAGGGGCTCACCCAAACCGCAACTACTCCTACAACATCTGTAGCATGTCATCAATGAGAAAATACGTTCTTCCTTTATCTCTTGGGCTTCTCGACCTTCAGCCGTTGCTTCTACAACCCCCCATCGGCCAGCAAGGGAGGCGTATGCTTGCCTCCTATGCCCAGTCAATGCTGGCCTTCCTAATCCCCTCCCAAATTCATAATGCCTGGTAATGCTGTTGCTTGCTTTGGTAACAAGTTCTCGAAATTACACATGCTATGCCACCACAGCCTGCCGATTAAATCATAGTTGTTTTATGTCCTTTGAACCTTTCCATGAGAAGAAAAAAAATGGGGTATCTCCATACTTCATCTCCGGCCGTCAATCTAGTAGGCAGACCTCTTTAGAGTGCCTCACTCAGTCGGTCGACGAGTCCTCAACCTCCAGCCTCTTAGCCGCAGGCTCGCTGTCCCCGTCGCTATCCTCGACGTCGTACTTTTCCTGCCACAGCTTGCGCAGCACCTGATACAGGAACAAGTACTGCGACTCAGCCTGTACCATGCTGCGGCGCTGCTCGCGGAGGGCGTCGACGGTGGCAAAGATGAGGTCGTCGCCCTCGCCGGCGCCGTCGTAGTCGTCGAGCGCGCCCTCGTCGAGCTCGCGCATCAGATGCTCCAGCGTGATAAAGGTGCCTGTTCGTCCTACGCCGGCGCTGCAGTGAATGATGCGCGGGTTCTCCGAGGTCGTGTTGTACTCGCGCGACAGGCGCATGAGTGTGAAGAAGCTGGACAGGTCGTCGACGGCAGGGACGCCAAAGTCGGGCCACTTGGTGTAAAGCAGGTGCCAGACTATGCGGTCCTCCTCCTCCTCGTCAACACGTAGCAAGAGCTTGCGCACCTCGATGGCGCCATTCTCAAGGGAGAGGAAAGAGTCAAAGGTCAGCGTGGCGCTCCAGCCGTCGCCCCAGCCGTCCGTCTCGTTGATGACCCAGGGTTCGTGCTCTTCGTCCATTGGCAAGTAAGGGTAGCATTTCACCTGGTTGTTCTCGTAGAAGCTGGTAAGCTGTACGATGACGACGGGATTTGTGAGTTGCTCGGCAATCATGCGCCAGACAAAGTCTAGGGAGTTCTCTGTCGGACCCTGCATCGCAATGTACCACAAGGGAGGAAGCTCCTTGTTCGAGGGAGAAGAGAGGGTTATGGTCGAGGCGTTGACGTAGTCGAGCTCCTCTGCGGGCACGCGCAGCTTTATGCGGTTGTGGTTCCAGGGCTTGATGTTAAAGTAACGATCTTGCACGCCTCTTCGCATGTCGATCTGCTTGTAAGAGCCCCATTTTGTCGTCTCGTCAGCGTCGGGAGCCATGCCGGCAGCCAAACGGTTGCGTTCTTGCCATACGAGCTCCTGGAACTTGTTTTCTAGATCTGCAGGGATCCCAGCAGTTAGTTCCCGACCCGCGCCTCCCAGTCTGCGACGAGACGGAGGTTTCGTACCTGGTACGGAAAGGTTCAGGAAAGCCGGTATTCTCGGCTTGGGCCTGAAGCTTTCGTGGCTGCTCTTCCCGGACGAGGCCGAGTCGTCCTTGCTACCAGCGCCGGCGCCACCACTACTGCCATCCTTGTCTTTTTGCCTCGGGGACGAGGTGATGCCGTCGTGGGAAACGATCGCGGGGGGCGGCGACTGCGGCAGGGAGGCCGGAGGAGGGGATCGCAAGCGCTTGCCTGAACCGCGCAGGTGTAGGCCGCGGAAAGCGGACTTGCGCAGGCCGGGCTTGGTCGGGGTCGGACATCGGCCGCCAGTGACGGTGACGGTTGTGGAAGGGTATATTTGTTGAGGCGGCTGTTGCTCGTCGATGCCGTTTCGGGAGGGAGAGGTCTTGACGTCTGTGGTGGAGATTGTCGGGATCTTTGGTTTCCTACGGAACTTGGGAAGGTGGTCCATCTTGAATCTAGCTACCGTAGGACGAGACGTGCTGAAGGAGCGTAGGGTGAAGCGGGGTGGACGAGTCGGATGCAGCGGTGGGAAAGCGACGGGACGCAAGGCGACGAGAAGGGAGTAAGTCTGCGCAGCAGTGAGGATGACGAGCGTGAAGTGGTGGTTTTGCAGCAGCGGCTGGCGCTGGGGCGTGGCGTGGCGTGAAGGGTTCGGGTTGGTTATGTACTGTGGCCGTGACCTGAGCCTGTGAGGTAGGCCGGAATGTCGTCAGGGTTTTTTTTGGCAGGCAGGGCGCGCGGGCGAAGGGCGGCAGACGGCGGACACCCTGCAGGAAGCTCTTTCTTTTTTTGGAATTCGGTGCGGCCCAGCAGGACGGGGAGCTGCAGCAAAGTAGCAAGCAACAGGCAAAGCGGCCCAGGTTAAGCGCGGGTTGGGGTAAGACGACGGTCGGAGTATTAACGGGAATTCCGTACTTTTTGTTGGTTGGCTGGTGTCTAAAAGGGGATGGGCGTGCGCGTGTGTGTGTATGTACGGATACGTGTGTGTGAGGTGTGTTTGTACACGTGTGAGAGAGTAAGAGTCAGAGAGAGAGAGAGAAACAGAGAGGCGGGTGAGAGGGTGAGAGGGGTGGCTGAAGGATGAAGTTGTTGCTGTGAGGAAGAGGAGGAGTCGGGCGTGCGTTGGGCGTCGTCGTTATAATTAACCAGCAGTATGGAACTGAGGAAGAAGAAGAAGTGTACTAGTAGTTTGTAGTAACAATAAAGTTCTAGTAGGTAGCAGCAGTAGCGGTGGTAGTGGTGGTAAGGTAAGGAGAGAACGGAACGGAGCGAAACTAAGAGATGAAAAGTGTCGTTCCTGGCGATCTAAAGTGGTCGCATGGATGGACCTCTGAAGGGGAGTGGGAAAGTTCGTGCGTCACGAGTCCGAGTTTGGTTGTGTCACTCGGGAGGCACGTGCCGAAGGATGCCCGTCAGGAGATGCCAGATGGGCAGAAATGCAGGGTAGCGTCCTTTCCTTTGCCAATAGGCGTACGGAGTAGTGGTACGGGTAGGTTTCGTTCTGCAAAGAGTTGAGAGACGAGAGATGAGAAAGAAAAGATACAGAGAGACCAGATGGAAAGAAGTGAACCCGTTACCCGAGGAGGGCTCGGAAGAGGAAATTGCCACGATGAAAAGAAGGTAGAAATTTTGATTGTAATAATAGAAAAAAGGCGGGTATCCGTTCGGATTACCAAACGAAGATGCTCTCTCTCTCTCTCTCTCTCTCTTTACGGAGTGACGGAGTAGTCTTCCCCTTGTCGGTTCCCCGGGAACTGGGAGCGAACCTAGTCCAAGTGTCCCACCCCACGGCGGAACGTGAATAAGCAACATGGAAGCGGCAGACGGCTAAGGCTAAGGTAGCAGCTAAGCAGAGTATCCATACGGAGTAGAGAGATGATGGCGAGAGGTGTCAAGATGAGGCTTACCATATACAGACTCACAAACGCACAGTCCTTGGCAGAAAGAATAGTAGGTCTGGACAAGAAAAAGCAAAATACCTTACTAAACCATCTCAGTCCACTCACCCGTTGCAACGCTCTGTTTCCGCGCCGAGGGAAGGCAACGGACGGGGGAGGCGCAACGATTGGGCGAGAAGAGCCGAACCCGAATCACTACTTCGTACGCAGCAAGGTAAGGTACCATGGATCGAAGGTCGAACCGGCGATGCAAAATCCATCTCTGGCCCTTTTCCCGAATAAAAACAGCCCCCCTCCAGGGCCCAAGGGGGTCCCATCGTAACAGGGGGTGGCAGCAGAGCAGGGAATAGAAGACATCTGGATCGAACATTGGAACGTTTGCCCATGTTCTGCAATCTCGGGCAGTCACCCAGTGCACGGCTTCTTGGTCTGCCGAATCCTTGGGAGGCCAATCCAATCACCAATCCAATGGATTCTGGAAGGCGGGGTGGGACCCCCCCCCCTGGGCCCTGGTCCTGCTTCTTTTTTGCCTCGCTAGCCTCCCCTGCCGCCGCGTCCCGAGGAACTGGAAGCACCGCTGCACCGCTACCTGCGTACCTGCCCTGCACCGCTGTTGAGGCTGCTGCCACCGTGCCACCGTACCACCACCTTCCCAGGAATCCAGCAGGTTCTTGCCTTTGATTCAAGGTTTCTGTCAGGTTCGAACCGCGCTTCGAAACGGAAAGGGGGCCACGGGGGGTGTTGGGGTGTTGGGGTGTTGTGAACGGTTAACGTTACAACGTCGGCAATTCCGTCTAGCCACGTTTACTTGCGCCGTCTTTTTTGTCACCGTCGCCGTATTGCATACAATTGGGGAACCCGCCATCAACCTGAACGAAGCTTCAACGCAACAGGGAGTCAAGCTTCCGCGCCCAATGACGACGAACGGCCGCCGCGCGATTTTCCTAGGTTAAACTTCTACCTTTCTTGCAGAACCCCAGTCGTGCCATTGTAAGAGGCGCGCTTATTCGAATATTGGGGGCACCATTTCTCGGATCGTCCCATTCGTCCGGCCTGTGCCCGACGACGGTTCTTGTTTTTTCTAGTTTGAGACTCTGCCGATCACCTTGGAGCGCTATCGAATCAGCCGCTCGTACCTTACAGATAGATGCCTTACACGTACTTTTACCACGCGTTGCCCAATTCCCTGGCTCGAGGAGCGCGAAGAGATAGGCAGAGAATGCCTCCCCCCACCGACTAACGCAGGTTCGTTGAAGAAAGTCAGTAATACTTTGGTAAGACCAAGAAACGGTTACTTGCCACCTTGCTTGCTGCAGGCGCTGCTGCAAGTACGAACTGCCGCTGCTAGCTAGCCAAGTCGGCCCCTCTCGGCCGTTGGGCATGTCAAGAGTCAGGCACGTCGCAATTCCCTCTAGGCTCTAGCGTTTCTGGCGTAGCGCTCCGGATAATAGATCGTAATGGCCCGCCTCGGCTGACGACTAACCTACATACACCCGACCCTCCCCCCGCTCCCGCCTCTTCCCGCTGTGCGTATGCGGATTTGTGTTGGTTCGGGGGTCTACCGACTTCGTGTTCAGCTGTACTCCGTAGCCTGTTGGGAGGAAGAGTCATGTCGTCGTTGCATCCGGGTCGTTGGCCCGTACGAAAGGAGGTAGGTAATAGGTACTAAGTTTAGATGCGTGAGCTGGTCCGCTCTTTCGCCCCAAAAAGCACGCGATTACCACCCCCAACTGAACTGAACGTTGGTTGGTTCTGCGTCTTATTAGACAGATTGAATATCGCTCTGGTCTGAGCAGCTTGTGCGCCAACACCCCATGAAAATGATAGATTCATGGCAGGCGACACAAAAGACAGACAAATACCTACGCCATGTTACTCTGTAGTTTGGTAACTTGTTCGAGTCATAGCATGGAATGAACCAAGACCTTCTGGAAGAAGTCCCTTCGGTTGGAACTTCTCTGTGACATTGGAAGACAACCTGCCACTTCCAAGCCGGCAGTGCCAAGCCCGGCTATTGAGGTAGCACACACACACACACACACACACCTGGTTAGACAACCCATCATCTCAGCTGTTCGGCAAGTCTTTTGCGTCCGCCGGAGTGTATCCGATAGAAGGTCCCCCTCCCATCTTTGACAGGTAACACGCGTCAATCAAAGAACAAAGGGTCGACAGCTTCGTCCTATGAGTGCATGTGTATGTCTGGGACATGGGTACGGATTTTCGGATAACCCATACTACCTCTCACAGCCGGGGCATCTGACAAGCAAACTCCGAAAGTTCGCACTCTTTTCGAACCGAACAATGTAGACAGACATCTTCCGATAACACGGGAAACTGCGAAAAGCGGTCACCCCTTTTCCACCTACCGTAGTCTAAAACCAACCTGCCAAGCAACAGACCAGACATCAGATGATTCATCACTTCAAACCGGTGAATCCCCGGGTACGATAAGCGCGTGAGAGAACAATTGCAATAATATGAGTTGAATTTCTGTCTTGCCAAGCTTTCCGGCGCGGTTTCCAGACGCCAAAAAGTGAGGGGCGGCCGGCCGTTTTCCCGAGAGGTTCCTGGCTTTGGGAGATGATATCTCTCCGATATATCGACGAGATACTCCGTGCATGACCCGAATATGGTCTCTGAGAAGAGCCTCGGAGCTTTCTCCCCCCTTCTTATAGTTGTAATTACAAGGTTTTATATCCTTACAAGCCGCAAAACCCCCGATACCTAATAGTACAATTCGTCATGCCTCTCTCTTTCGTGCTTAGATAGCCGAGTCTAAGCACGACGACGATGCCTGACTAAACTCATGAAACATGCCACAAAAGTCGCCGAGTTCAAGCCTCTTTCGTCGTCCTACCTAACCCAAAATCCCCAAAGAGCCTCTTTTCAAACAGCCGAGTACGCAGCCGTCACAAACCGCCCACACTCAACCCTCTGCTCCAAACTCACCTTCCTACCCTTACCATCCTTCCCCAACCGCACAATCTGCCGCGGCGTAAGCTGGAACCGATGCACCTCGCCCGCGCGACCGTTCAGCCCGTCGCCCACACCGCCGTCGAGGGCCCCAATGTAGCCCGGCGCATTGAGGTTGCTGCGCTTGCCCGTGCCGAGCTGGTAGTGCTCGTTGCCGCCCCAGAAGAGCACGTCGGCGCCCCAGTTGGTATCGTTGTGCGAGCTCCGCGTCGTCGCGCCCGTCCGCGTGACGTTGTCCATGGTCGCCGAGACGTGCGTGGCGCCGACGGAGACGTCGGCGAGGCGGATGGGCGCCATGCGGTTGGCCTTTTCGTCGAATTCGAAGAGCGAGGAGAGGGCTTTTACTTTGGCGGGGCCGGGGGTTACGTGTGTCCATTTGCCGGTGCCTAGGGATCCGTAGACGCCTTGGCCGCAGGCCCAGAAGTCTGCTGTCACGCGCGGCATGCGGCGGGCGGGGGCGAGGTCGCCGGTGATGGAGGAGGAGGATGCTGCTGCTGCGAAGGGGTTCTCGTTGATGGCTTCGGTGGCGTCGACGGTGAAGAAGGTGTTGTTGCCGCCGGCGGAGATTGACGTGATTTTGGGGACGAGGCCGGTGTTGGCGTAGAGTTTGGCGGTGGGGAGGAGGGAGGGGACGTCGACTCTCTGGAAGCCTTGGTCCGCGGGGAGGCCGAGCTGGCCGTAGGTGTTGTCGCCAAAGGTGAAGAGCTTGCCGTCCTTGTCGAGGGCGGCGGAATGAAGGTCGCCGGCGGCGATCTTGGCGATGGAGAAGCCCGAGAGGCCGGCGATCTCCTGGGGCTGGTCAAAGGGGCCGGCTGGGCGGGAGGTCCAGCTCAGACCCGGGATGCCCATCTGGCCCTTGGAGGGGTACTCTGCCGTGCTGGAGGCGGCGGAGAAGACGCGGCCCTTTGAGGTGAGGAGAAGGCTGTGCTGGAGGCCGCTGCTGATGTCTGTGACTTTTTCGCCCCAGGCGAGGTTCTTGGGGGTCAGGTCTCTGGCCTTGACGGACTCGGATTCGGGCGAGCTCCAGAAGGGGATCCAGGAGGAGGATGACTGCTGGGGCTGCTGTAGCTGTTTTCCCGCTGCGAGGCCGGTCTTTGACGCTGGGACCGAGTATACCGAGCCGCTGGAGGTGAGTGCGATGATGCGGTCGTTGGAGATGGAAATCTTGGAAATGTCTTTGCCCTTGAGCGTCTCGACGGGTGAAGGGTCGGTATTCGAGAAGCCTAAACCCCATTGCACGAGATCGCCCTTCTCCGTGACGGCAGCGCCAAAGTCTTGGCACAGTTTGATGTCTCTCAGCAGCTGGCCGTCAAAATACTTGATCCGTCTCGGCAGCTTGACGAGAGTCTCTTTGGACTGCGGGTCAATTACTTTGCCGACGTTGCTTCCCCAGGCATAGACGCCCGGGTTCTCCCAGCTCTGCTTGACCTGGAGATGCTGCGAGCTGATGAGGTCGCGGTTCTCCTCCTTTGACTGGGCCGCCTTCCTCGACTCCTCAAACTTGATCTCGGCCTTTTGGTACTTTGGCTTGCGCGCGGCGTCGGGTGATTCCTTTCCAACCTCGGAGCCAAAGTATTGGCTTAGGGGTCCGTTGAAGTGGTCGTCGGCGTAGTACAGGGCACCAGCAGTTCCTGCAGTCAGAAGCAATGCCTTGGCCTTGCCCATACCCGAACTCCCACCGGGCCGGCGAGGTCCGGAGCTGGCATGGCGACGAGCCACGGCAGCGCATCTCTGGGCTGTACGAGAAGCGCCAGCATTGCGTGCAGCTGCCCTGTAAGCCTTCATTTTCGGGCCTACGAGAGTTGATTGGACAGAGTGGTATGAGTAGGAGCAGATTGGGATGATGAGAGCATTAAGTAAAGGATTCCAGTGACATGAGAAAAGAGACCCTTGAGTGAGAGGAAGTTGAAGTGAGGTGAGGTGTAGTCGCTTACAGGTCGTGAGGTCATCAACGAAAACTAAAACTTCGATTCGCCCAGCACTAAATCTAGACTTTCCCGGACCCCTGCCGGCGTAGGGACCGTGCGCCCCCCCGCTGCGGGTTGAACATGCGGGCCCCACTTTGTACCTCTGAGCTCCAACCGTTCGCAATTGGGGCCAATGATTTTCCGCCCAGTTTACGCCTGCCATTGGGGCCCGCCCCCGGGGGAGCTGAGCTGTCCCGTTTGGAGCGCGGTGGTGGGAACACCGTTCGGCATCATAACGGAGCCAGAGCTTCCCTCAATTCCCCAGCCCGGAAAGCCCCCTCCACGACTTCAGGCGAGGCCACGATGTACGACGATTCTTGGTACAGCTTTGTGCCAGAGGTGGCCAAGAAAGCAACCACGGCTGCCCAGGGCCCAGGCCATCGTCGCAGAGAGTCACTGTTGCAGCAGTCGAATGTCAGCTCCCAAACCTCACCACCCACCAACACCATGATCACAACCACCGCGACGGCATGCTGACAGTTGATGTTACCAAAAGGGCGTCCCCCAAGCTTCCAATGCACCAGAAGCCCTCGACGAAATCTTTGAAGAGATTGAAGACCGAAACACACCACCCGAAGCCGAGGTCCTGCGCCGCGCAAAGTCCTATTCCGACTTCTATCATGTCGTTCGAGCCCAGTTAGCCAAGGATGAGCAGCACAAGAGGCGCAGGCGGAAGAAGGAAAAGACTTGGGACGCGATAGATATTGCGGCAGAGGTTGCCGAATCCAAGGCCGAACGTCGTCCGGTTCATCGCCAACATGAGGGGGAACTGCTCGAGGCTAGCCAGCAGGAATACCTGTGAGTAGGGCCAGTTACGCACGAAGCTCGCCCTTGCTAACCACCAGAGCAGGCTGTACAAGGACCAACTGACGCTCACCGAACGGCACCTCGACATGCTCATCGACGACACGAACCAAGCGCTCAAGCTATTGACGACACTGTCCGAATCGTTCCAATCCGTGGAGGCACAGACGAGCTCGTTCCAGTCGCAGTGCGAGGACCTTTTGTCGGAACAGCACAGGCTTGAGAAACTTGCAGACGAGGTCGGCACCGATCTTCACTTTTACGCATATCTCGATAACGTCTCCAGGAGACTCAATGCTCCTGGCGCTGGACGTCTGGTTGATGATGAATCTTTCGGCGAGATTTTGAGGAACCTGGATTCTTGTATAGGCTTCATGTCGAAACACGTGAGTATTTCTGCGGCGGTGGGTATCAATGGATCGAAATTAACAAACAAATGCAGACGACGTATCGTGATGCCGAGTCGTACCTCGCCCGGTACGAGGCTTTGCTGACCAAGGCGCTCCATCTTCTCGAGGTCGGCTTCACCAACAGACTGGAGAGCATTTCCTCTGAGATCTCGAGCCAGATTGCTGGGACCAAGTCCGAGGCCACCCGCCATGCTGTGGCATATGGGCGTTTTGAGGAGATGATTCTTGATTCTTACTCTCTGATCCCTAATATCCACAAAGTAATCAACAGCGTATACGACGAACACGGGCTCCCCATCACCGGCATTGCGAAGGATATCTACTCGAATACCACGAGCAATCTCTTCAGCTGTTACCTGGCCGTCCGAGATCGCGACTTGAAGCCTATCGTGCAGCACGACCAGGACGAGTTCAAGAAGGAGATCAAAGACCTCTCCGTCGAGACAGCTTCAAGGAACTACATCAAGCAGAGCTTCGAACGCGCATTCAATGAAGCTAACTTATTCGCCAAAATCTTCGGTCTGGATCTTCAGTGGAGCTCCGATCCCGAGTCTGCGTACGGGGTCCTCAAGTCCAACCAGAGGTCGCTCGTCAATCCCGCGAACCTCGTCCAGTTGGCTGTCAATCTTAATGCCGCGCTGCAGACTGCGGATCTCGACACCATCTGTAGTGTGGTCGGCTGGCTGACCAACGAGTATCTGGTTCTCGACTATGACGAGGAGGAATCTCCCTTTGCGCGCCAGTGTCGCGAGCTAAGCGCCAGACTCTTGACCGAGCACCTCTGGGTCTTTACCGACAACGCGTTCGAGGCAGAAATTACAAAGACGATCGCCAAGGCCACCATTAAGGACGAGGCTCTTACTATCGGCCCAGTGGTCGGCGGCGTATCTTCTTCGAATGCTTTCCCACCAGTAAAACAGGCACTCAAGCTTTTGGCCAAGTATGACCAGTCCATGCCCAAGGAACGAAGTGTAAGTTATCAACGTCTGGAATCAGCTGTTCATAAGAGACCTAATATCCCGCAGCAAAAGAACAGTCAGGTCATCTTCAAGATCGTCCGGGAAACAATCCAGATCCTGCAACGCGCCGAGGCGCGCATCAAATCCATCAAAGCCGGCACGGACGCAGATCTGTTCATGGTAAAGAACCTCCTCATTATCAAAAACGAGCTCGTCTCCCTCGAAATCGGAGACATCCGAGGTGACACGGCCGCGATGCAGCATTTCGGTCACATCTGGGACAACCTCAGCCCCCAGAACTGGGTAGGTTTCGTCAGCAACATCATCGGCGGCTCTCTATGGTCCCGCGGGACGGGAGGAGCGGCGGCGGCGACCGTCACGGCCAAAACGCTGACGGTCGAGGATATGAGCGAGCAGCTGGACGAGCTGCTGAGACAGTCTATTGTCGCTTTCACGCAGCGCTGGGGCGGGTTGACGAATGATGCAAGGGCTAGGAAGCCTGGTGTGAAGCCCATTGGCAAGGTTGAGAAGGAGCTTGATGAGGTGCTGTTGAGGGCTTTTAGTAATCAGCCTGAGGTGATTGCGAAGCTGAAGGAGGCGATTCAGATTAATGCGCAGGCGCAGGAGACGGCGCAAGAGGAAAAGAAGGGAATTAGACGGTACTGAGGGGTAGAGAACGCGTAATTCTCGAACATAAACTACGGTCACAGGATGAGGCTGAACCATATGACACCGATGCAATTCCATTTACAGATCGATGGTATCCCCTTTTTAACAGATTACAATATTGTTTCCACTAGCTTGAGGGGGTTTCGCATTACCTGTTCCCAGGAGCACACCCAATAACGCATAGTCCCGGATGGTATGGGCTGACTCTGGCTGCATCTTAGACTCTAAAACCCCCGAACGATTGGCATAAACCGCCCGGGACACCCTGGGGAACAAGCCCTGGGGAGGAAGTGAACGAGGTCCAGTGAGTTCCCAGTGGCAAAATGTGCAGTTCCCGTATCCCGTAGGATGATCCGCTGAGCGTCGATCCAGCCGATGGATGGGTTGGTTCCATCATGCGGTGTAACACAACTACCCCCCATCCCACACACACAGCCTTCGCATTGTGGTATGATGGAGCGCGAACGGCGGGCGAAGAGGCCTCATCAGGCAGCACTATGGAACTCCGGCGTGTTGCTTGAGGTGTCTTTCGAGGGGGCCCCTGACCTGGAACTCCCCTTGGGAAATCTGCCCTGCGACGCTATTTCTACTCGAGTGCCCCAAGAGCTCGGGGGGGAAGAGTTGATCTTGATAGCGATACCAGTTTACAGAACCCAGAAAGCTGTTATCATGACACAAGTCGCACAGCACGTCACCAGCCGGTACCTCAAGAAGGCGAGCCTCCAACAGCTCCTTGAGAAGATCTTTCCGGGGCACACCAACTTTGAGATTGAGGTACTTGGCGTCGAATCGAAAAAAGCAAACAAAACCCTGGTAGCTAAGACATTTTTTTTTTACAGATGAGAGATGATATTTGGCATTTCAAAGCCCCGAAACAAGTTAATAACGTATATTATGCAAAGTCCAGTAGACGTCGCATTACCTCGTTGTTCGACGCTAATGTGTATAATAGGACGAGATAGAGTAAACACCACTAATACGATTGAGAGCAAATCATGAGCCGAGACATTGAGCTAATGAGAGATCCTAGTGCCGTGCGAGATGAATGAAATTTGTTGATGGCGGGTTTCCAGCGGGTGGGCAGTGCAAGTAAGGGTGACATGTCAGCAGCAAGGCAAGGCAGGTGGTCGATCGACCACCGACGGTAGACAGCCTTGCGCCAATTTGAATGCAGATAATAAATAAGCACCGCAAGAAAAGGTGCTTGCCAAGTTTCTCTCTCTCTCATTTACTTTCGCCTTGCGTGCCATCCCGATGCCGTATCACACAACATGGCGTCGACGAAGCAGTGCTTTATCGAAGAGATCGTCGAGCCCATTAGGCTCTACAACGTGCCGCATCATTCAAATGATGGGGATGGGGATACAAGAGCTGTACCGGTAGAGCAACATTCCATCTCGGATTTCGATGTGTTGAGTAGTCGTTTGGATAGCATGCGAGGGAGGGAGCACGTATATCGCTTTATGTACGTTCACGTCTTGCTTCACTTATAGGGGTCGCTCATAATGAACATTGCTAATTTCCCCCCATAGCTCAATCTGCCAGAGGAACTCATGGAGGCCTTTGCAGATCACCGTTTCCATGTTTAAGCTACTCATAGAAAAGCTGAGCTTGAATAACTCCATACGGGATATTGTGTCATTCTTCTACATGCGAAACATGCATACGGAGGAAGTCTTGTCCATGCCGTACAACGAGCGACGAAAGGGATCAGTGGTCGGTATGTATAAGCTCAACCCGATGACTTGGATTTAACGGTTCTCGCCAGTAGTCGGAGGACTGATCATCTAGCAGAAGCGTCGTACACCCTTCGATATCCAGAACACAAGCCCGATCTGGACAAATGGGTGATTCGTCAGACTGGGGTGTACCATCGCTGCGATTCAACATCTGGTCAGACTCTGTTCATCATGTTCAACCCTGTACCAAATGCAAAAGCCAGTATCACAGCAGCCGAATGGCTGTCCAGCCGAGTCCAAGGGTCCGACACCGACCCCGTCTGGCTACACAAGATCCTTCTGGAGACGTACTTCCCGGCGTGGAGGTTCTATATCGCATCCCTAGAGCGACAGTTTCTACCTCTGGTGAGATCATACTGGCTCTGAGAACTTGAATCACTTAATCTAATGCCAGCCTACTGTATAGTCGTACAACACGCTGGTAAACTTCATCAATGAACCCTCAACACTGAATCCAAGCCACTTGACGACGCTCGTCAACCTCTCGAACCATTTCCTGACGACCTCATCCATCCTGAACTCGTCTGAAGAGACATTGAGGGAGCTTTCGAACCTATGCGCCCATTGCTTGAAGGGAACGAATGCAGACTTGCTCCAGGAGTCCACCTCGGAGTTTGAGAATTTCCAGCGCCAGTGTAGAATATTCTCACGGACGGCGACGGACCTGTATCATCGCGTGCAAACAACCTCGCAGCTGCTCGCCAACACTCTTTCTTTCCGCGAGCAGCTCGACTCCAGGAAGCAAAATGAGAATATGCTGCGCTTGAACAAGTCGGTGGTGTTTATTACTACTCTGACACTACTCTACTTGCCGCCTTCTTTTATAGCTGTGAGTAAAAGCCTTTCTCCCGTCTTTCCCGGGGACTCGGCGACAAATGTACTTAATAAAAAAACTGTCGCAGCTGACTAAGGACTGTTGCGATAGACCTTCTTTGGAATGAACTTTTTCGACATGGACTCTGTGACCGGTAGAATCATCAGCAGTCCGATGATCTGGATATATGTGCTCGTTTCTGTCCTCCTCACTACGGCAACCTTTGGAACGTATTACACGATGCGGGAAGGAAGCTTCCTCAACGCAAAGGTATCAGGGTTGAGAGCCCTGAGCTGGCGGGGCCTGTTTTATCGGAAACAGCACAACAAGGACGTCGAGCTGGACGATCTACCGGTTTGATCAGATGTTGGAGGACCGGGCAGCGTATCTGGGAGTCTCCCAGAGAGATCAATCTTGAATACAGCGTGCCGGTTGGCCCCTACAAGTGCAGTGATTAGAATATGGCGGTTGCCATCATTGCCGACTATGGTGCCGGTGAACTCGTCGTTCTCGGATAGGCCAGGTAATTGTGCCAATTCGCGAATGACCACCGGATCCCTCGTCTCCGGTCTTGCAATCTCGAGTACAAGTATACAACCACCATCTGCTCTGCTCCCGAGGGCGAAGATCGTGTCGTCGCTTGGATCGATCATGACTCTGAGAAGGCGGTAATTCTCGATGATCTTGGGGTACCGAGATCGTCTCGCCTGTACGTGGGATGTATTCGCATGAGGATCGACGGTGAATAGTTGGGATTCTCGAGATACGATGACACAAGCGGCCTGTTGGTGTAATCCCGCAAACGTAGTGAAGAGACTTGAGCCCTTGCTCTCTTGATCCTTAACGATGGAAACACGTTAGTACCATGTCTTCTTTGAATGTCGTGTACATGAAATAGGACGATATGACTTACTCGCGGCTCGAGAAACACTTCCTCATAATCCTGGGTTTCGAGGGAGTATGAAACGACCGGGATGCGATATAAGCCGTTTTCTTCCAGATACGGACGGATCGCAGCGTAGCATCGGTTCTGGCTGGTGAGCGATAACGACATCACGTCTTCAGCAGGCCAGTCGAATGCGATGAAGCGGTCCAACAAATTCCTGCCGCTCTGTTCTGTTTCATTTCCCTCTGAAGTAGATCCCATTCTGCTTTCTCTCGGTCAGCCAACTGGTCACCAATGCCAACTAGGTAGGCGCAAGCGGGTAAGCGCAGGGGTCTCACTCTATCAAATCCTCGATTCTCACATGGAAGATGGATCCCGAAAGGCTCTCGTCTTCCTGATTTTCTACCACGAAGACCAAACTCTGTTGATCGGTTGACATCGCCATGATGTAGACTTCCGGAACTGTTGGAAGCCGAATGTGCCAATGGTTCTTGGGGCTGGAGTCGGCTCCAGCTCCTTGTCCTATTTTAAATATGTAACACTGGTAAACCGAAGATTAGCAGCATAAACAAGTTTTTTTCAAGACGAAACTCACGTTGAAGATATTCCCCGTGGTCGTGGCAATCAGATAGTTGTTGGTTAGGCAAACAGCTTTCCAGAACCGGCTCGTCGATCCCAATAACTCCAAGGAACGTCCCCCGATGTTTTCCAGGAAGTCTCCCTCTGCGTTCGGGGTAGAGCTTGAGGCAAACAGTGAAATGTCGCTGTCGCTCCAGTACGCAATTATACTGCCGTCTGGTGATACCTTACAGCCCTTGAATACATCGTATCTCCCTCTTGGTATGCGCCACTGTTGCACACTCTGTTCCGTGGAAGATTTGGGCCTGGGCAGTGTTAGTCTTCAAGTTCGAATGAGCCTGTTTATCTCCACGAATTTTACTCACTGTTTCAGAGTTTCCTGTGAAGATTCGAGCCGATCAATCTCCTCGTACGCGTCGAGCGTGCGTCGAAGCATGTTCTCGACCTCCTTTGCACTGCACCTCTTGTTCTGACTGATCTTCAAAACTTTGGACTCGAGAAAATTTAGCATGGTCCGGACTGCTTCGTGTTCCTTAACGCTTCTCGCCGCAGCCTTGCGAATGAGTTGCCTGTGAGTCGTCTTGACAGCCGAGTGTAAAGTATTCACGGAAAAGAACCCCAGTGACCAGACGTGGAAGAAGACGTCGTAGCTAGCGTCGATACCTCTGCGGTATTTGAGTCGGTTCGTCTCGTAATTGTCAATCGCACTCTTCCCGCCCTCGAGATACACAAAGAGGACGCTGAGCACGCAGCCCAGCGACCACACATCGCTCCTCGTATTCATGACTTTCCCCTCACGGAACGATTCCGGGGGTAAGTACGTCCCCTGCCCGCGCCGGTTCTGGGTCCCGGACATGGTCCTCTGCTGCCAATCGCGTCGCTTCGTGAACCACTTGGCGATATCTCTCTCTTCCTCGTGGCTGGTCTGGTGCCGAATCTTGACCCTCGACATGCCAAAGTCGCTCAACTTCCAAATGTAGCGAATCTCGATCCCATCGGCGCTCGTGACGGTTTCTCGGAAAATGAGGACGTTGCTCGGCTTCAGATCCATGTGATAGCAGACGATCCGCTCGAGGCCGGGGGACTGCATCTCTTCGTGAAGGAATTTGAGGCCGTTGGCGAGACCGATCGCAGACCGTATGAAGCCAGCCCGGTTGTTCGCCGTCTTTGGCGCGTTTGAGCCGTCCTTTTTCATGTATGCTCCCAGATCGCAGACCGCTAGCGGCATGAAGAGACTGTACGGTGCCGGGCTGGCGCCCGTGGGATACTCAATGTTCAAGGTCCCGAGATTCTCTAAGATATTCTCGCAGGTCTTTGACAAGCTGAGAATCATCTTCATGATCTCTCCTTCTTCCCTGGACTCGACATTGGAATCTGAGGACGACCTGGTGATGTAGTCTTTCCGAGCCACCCATCGTTCCCTGCTGTCATTTCTGCGACGATCTTCGAAATGCCCCTTGGCAATCTTCACTTTGTAAACTCTGCCAAAAGCGCCTGAGCCCAGCAGCTCTTCTTCCACGTACGGGAGACGCTGGGTATCGCCATGTATCGTAGTCTCCTCTCGTTGCCGAAGCACCACAGTACAAAATGGAGCCTGTGATCCGTAGAACTTGTCCGCCGTCGCTTCATCCCCGTCGAAGAACTCTGTCAAGCTTTGAAGGTCGGTCGGTAGCAAACATACGCGCCTAGAGATCCCTCCTTCGGGCGGCGGCCACTCGGGAACGCCAGCTAGCTTCTCTGTGAAGTTTCTAGCTGCCTCAATACGACAGCCAGCGAACGCGATGATGGCCAGAAAGTTGTGTAGTTCTCTATGCTGGACACTTGCAATGAATTGGTCCTCTGTAATGGTGAATTGGCGGCCTTGGGGTGCCTCCTCGCCGATCAGGCTGCGGAAGAAGAGGCGGAGATAGTGCGGGCTCAAGACACCTTTCGGTGTCTCGCGGGTGGCGAATCGTAGGTTCACACTATCTTTGCGCTCTAGATGTTTCAAAAACAAATTGCGAATCTCGTCGCACAAATCAAGGTACTCATGAGAAGACATGGTTCGTACCACAAGTGTTTCGTCGTCATTGAAGCGGCGTTTGCATGTTCTCGACCACCCCGCAAATGTTCAATGAAGAATAAAATGACTAGCCTCGGCCAGGAAACGAATAAGTTTGAGAGTGATGCTCAAACGAACTGCCGCGTTAGATCAGAGAGGGGTGACATTTCGAAGTGGCGCGGCAAGAACACATCACCTGCAGCCAGTTCCGCAGGCGGCACGCGGAATAAGGCAACTGCTGACTGCGCCCCGGTTGGCGCTGACCGCATGCCGCACCCCAGCATTGCTGCAGAAACAATTCTTGATTACGCCTGAACACTTGGAGCTTCCGCTCTTCCGTACCTGAGGAAGAGGACTTCAAGTATGTCAGGCTACGGGCGGTATTGAGGTTGGGAAACCGGTCTCGAGCATGATATGTGACTGAAAGATCGAACATTATGTGAAACTGAGTGTTGATGGTAATAGGAAACGACTTTAAGAGAATGTTCCAAGATCTGCATCTGCGGCAGCGTTATTTCACAAAGCCCGACTGCACAGTCAAATTAGCCGGTCTCTTCTATACAGTCTAGCGTTATGACGGAATAGCTAGATAGATAATGTGCAACCCTTATTCAAGGTCACGAGTATTAATTACGAAATTAGAGCATACTCTATCCAAACCGACATCGCTATTCATCTACTAATACATGTGAATATAAGTCGAAATCCCGCCAGAGCTCCGTATCGAACCAGTGCGAAGAGAACATCGAAGGCCGCGCGAAGACAGAAGGTGCCCGTGATATCCAGTCCGTAACGATGTCCTTAGAACAGGCTCAACGCCTCAGCCTTGATCATCATAATCTCGTCTCGCAGGCGCGTCACAAAGGGAGGCTCCAGCAGCAGAACCTGATTCCCCAGAAAATGCTCGGCGCGCCGACACCAAGCCACAATCAGGAGGTTCGCCAGTGTCATATTCTCTTCGTCCTTGAGCTCCCACAAGTCCTCGCGACACGCATACATCTTCTCAATCACGGTCCACGTCCTGTCCGCCATGGACCCTGACACCCGGTTCTGAAGCTGCGCGCCCAGGTAGTAGAACGTCTGAATCTTGAAGTCGAGGTCGACGAGCCACGCAAACTGGTGCTCCGCGACCCGCCGCTGCTGGAGCGTGATCTCCAGCGCAATCAGGCCGATGCTGAAGAACTTGTCTTCCGGTCCATGCATCTCCGTGCCCCATTCTGGTGCTGCTTCCAGGGGCGTGATGACCTTGTCGACGATGGCGGCGAGTGAGGTGCGGGAGTAGAGCGCCATTGCGTGGAGGGGGTTCACGGCTGAGTCGGAGAGGAGACGGCGCTCGAGGGGCCCCAGTGTCCGGTCGAACTTTTGCAGCGCGTCTTGTATTGCGGTGACGAAGGGTGAGTCAAAGGGGTGCGGCGGAGGCATAGCCGCGTATGCTAATGCTGAAGCCGGACCTGGGGATGCCTGGCCCCAGAGTACGTCGTCGACGGACGGGATTCGCATTTCCATGGCGAGTGATTCCGCTTCGTATGTAACCACGCAGTAGGACATCTCTGATGGTCCATCTCGAGCGATGGGTGCTTCTTTCATGGATGTATGGAGGTCTTCGTCGTTGACGTTGAGTGGGATGCGCGTGTCCCGGCTGGATGGTAGGACTCGGGCGCTGATGCTTGAGGCGGCACTCGTTTTGGCTTCTATAAGAACGGTTTGCCACCAGAGGCGTCGTCTCATTTCTGATTGGAAGGGTGACAAGCCAAGGCGTGTGCCGTCGATGTGGAGACCGAGACGGTGAGCTATGTTCACGACGATGCCGTTGAGAATCCATGGATCTACCGGGTCCCTCAAAGATCGTTGGTGTAACTGCATTGAGGTCAGCCATGGGCATCACTTAGGGACAATCAAAAGGTTCAGTGTTCATATGAGATACTCACTGAATAAAATATTAGACTCCTTATTGTATCTTCGTTGAAACGTTTCAGATAATTGTATCGTGCCATGGCAGTCTTGAAGCCCCTAGACAGACCCGTCGAAGCATCCTTCTTGGACCAGTGAAGCATGTCCCAGTGCTCTTTCTGCGAAAGAGTGCCAGATGCTGCGAGGAAAATGGAGAACAAGAGACCTTGCGTAATGGGCGAGATGGCGTGGAAGTTGGATACCGCCTCTGCAATGTTGGCCTGGAACGTCGGAATGTGAAGGATCCTGGTGACAGGGTTGACTCTGTCCAAGAACACCCTCCACAAGATGATGATGTTGGGTGAAGAAGGGACACAATTATAGGAGAGTCCTGAGGCGGGATATATGCCCATGTAGTCATGGTGCTGATTGAGGAAAGCGAGAGCAGGAAGCCATGTCGATTGCTCGCTCTCCACCTCGAAAAGGGCACGAATAGTCTGTTCCTGTATTGGCTCTGTGTGAGCATGGCTCAAGCTTGATATGAGATGAAAACGTAAGGGGACCAGAACGAAGGCAAATCATAGTGTCAAGAAGCAAGTTTCAGAGCCACTGAAGATAGGACATCTACTTACATCCTCACGAGCCGCAGAAGCCGTCTTGCTGTCACGGAACTCGACCCCGTTTTTAGTTTGCACAAGCCATCCTGGCGACTGCACTTTGGGTCTCTGATCGTCATGGTTCTTGCCATGGCTAGCTGTTGTGTCCGATGGTGATTCTGAATCGGTCAGGACAGTTGGCGTATCATCGACTGAATAAACCGGCTTCGATCCCATGTATTCTTCCAAAAGGGACTCGATGCTCGCAAGTTTGTCTCGTAGCTCATGATGGTTCTTCCTCCTCGGCTTGCGTGGACCCGGCGGTGGTGGAGCAAGGCAATGGCGGCCATGCTGCGTGGGTGTTCATGTTAACAGAAGAAGGGGAAAGGAGATGGAGAGAGCAGAGTGAATACAAGATGAGTATAAGACGAGATACAACAACAAGAGCTGCAGCCTGCAAGGGGTGGACTTTGTGTGTGTTAGGGACGGGTACGGGTACGTACGGTGATGCATTCTGAGCAGGGGTACTTTCGGTCACATTTTAGTTTCCGTTGCCGGCACTCTACACATGCAGGGTCGCGCTTCAGGGGTCTGTCAACCAGAGCCCGCGCAGCCACCTCGTGGCTACCTGGCTGTTGAATATGCGCTGCCGCTATCGTCGGGTCTTCCATGCTTCTCGGCAGCGTGAGCAGCTGCGGAGCGGGAGCTTGGCGTATGTGATAATACGAAGGCGAGTAGGAGTATGCTAGGTGCGGGGATGGATGGTCGTAGGTACACAATAGAGGCGTCTAGACGTCTGAGTTGGGAGCTGGACGAATCGGACGATTTCACAAAGTTTACGAAAGAGGGGATTCGGAAACAAAACGCACGTCGTGCATGGTCAATGATCCGTAACAATAAAGGAAACTCTGGAACCTCGGAGTGTTGATTGACGTTCCTCTGCTGCCGGGGTTTGTAAGGCAGACGTCGGAGGGCGGGTGCTCCCTGAGCTAAGTCCGGTGGGGGGAGGGAGATCTCTCGGGTCCGGAAATCTTTTGGGGTCCGAGGCCCCGCCCCGAGCCGGCAGATGAGTGGACCTCTCTCAACGCCAAAGTGGGTACTCGTATGAGTCTAGGAATGTATGACCTGTGTACTACTCCATAGACTCTACGAGCTAACCCTTGAGCAGCTGAGGCGCACAAGTGGCGCTTGCTGATTTGACTTCTTTTGTTTGATTCTGTAGTCTTTGATTGGACAATGGATACTTACCTGCGATAGTCAGGTGCGAGTGAGTGATGGGATTAGACATGCATGTCCTAATACCGGGCAACACTGTAAAGTGACAACGTCACAACATTTCTATCGCCATGTAATTATTTGAGCGAGGCTGAGCAGCGCATTGGCGGCTATCAAAACTCCTCCCTATTGACTCAAAGCGCAATGTCTGATTACGCCTGAGAGCCGTATTAGTCACTAGATAGATCTTAGATGACAGACCAAGCGGGTTTAGTAGTTGTCCTCGGCGTATCATTATGGATTTGCAGCGACGAGAAGAAGTGTAGAAGGCATTTCGAGAGCCCAAGATCCAAGATGCTTTGACGGTAGTCTGTCTGCCTTGCCCTAGAGATACTCGTATTTACCCGGTGAGATGTAATGTTTGTTGCCTCTTTACAATCTTTTCCCCAGAGAGTAAATCAAATAGCTTCGATCTAAGCCTCGTTGTCAATAATCGCAAATCTGTACATATCATTCTGATGTTATATATCAGCAACGTAATCAGATCGAAATAACGGATCTCACATAGTCAAGCGACCAAAGTCTCCCTCTTCCCCTAATTCTCTTCGTTCATTGAATTTTCTCTTGGTTTTCCACGATTTGCTTGCTTAGTGGGAATTTCGATTCGACGTTCGGCTTTCATAAAAAACATACCTTAGAACACACTCTTCGACACAACGAAGTAAATCAAACAATACCCGAGAAAAGAAGCCAAAATGACATCCACAAACACCACAATCCCCTCCTACGACACCTGCAAATCCCTCTCCCCAACCTGTTCCATCGAATACACCTTCTACGGCACCCCCCTCTCCAAACCCGCCCCAACCTTCTTCTTCATCACCTTCGCCCTCCTCCTCCACCTCCAGCTCTACCACGGCATCAAATCCCGCACCTGGTCCTACGCCCTCTGGCTCGGCATCGACACCCTCTTCGAGTGCCTCGGCTACTTCGCCCGCGCCAAACTCGCAGAGAACCCCTGGTCCATGAATGCCGTCATGCTCCAGATCCTCACCCTCCTCCTCGCGCCCACCCTCGTCGCCGCGGCGATTTCCGTCACGTTCGAGTACCTCGTCATATGGTACGGCTCCCAGTGGTCCGTGATGCGCCCGTCGCTGTACCCCTGGGTCTTTGTCGGTTCGGATTTCGTGTCGATTGTGGTGCAGGTTATCGGGGGCGGGGCGATGGCGGCTGGTGCTACGGGGAATCGTAACGAAACGGTGGTGAAGATTGCGGAGAAGGCTATTTTGGGCGGGGTGGCGTTCCAGGTTGGGAATATGGTTGTTTGCGCGAGTTTGATGATGGTGTATGTTGCGAGACGCAAGTCTGCGCTTAAGAGGGGTGGTGATGGGCTTATTTTTGTTGCGGCTCCCCATCCGCAAGCAGATGATGATGATGTTAGGCTTGTGGCACCGGCTCGTGAGAATGGCGGTACGCCGATGTCTAGGGCGTTGGCGACGCCCCAGCGGGCGGGGAGAGCTCGCACTTTCGCGTACGCGCTGGGAGTTGCCTACGTCGCCATTATCATCCGCTGCGCTTATAGGTATGTGTCCTCGTTTTTTCCACCTGGTTCGATTCGTGTCAGACCTTGCGACTAACCTCTACTCCCGAGCAGAATCACCGAAAACGTACCTGCGATATCCAAGGAGATTATGCGCAACGAGCCGATGTTTCTCGGTCTGGACGGGGCAATGTTGTTGATTGCGATTGGCGCCGTCACGTTGGTCCATCCAGGCGTCTTCTCCCCGTTCTTGAGTGAGAAGCCCCAAACGAATAAGGGCGACAGTCGTGGCGGGGACTACCAGATGAGGAACATGAAGTGAGAAACTATCTTGTGAGAAAAAGACAGGGCTTTTGGGGGGTTCAGCGTCTTCTCTCGGATTCAGATATCGGTCGTGCTGTGGGCGTGGGTTTTCGAGTTTTATGGCATCAGAATAACGGCTTCAACTTTTTCCTTACGTTGTCAAGTTAGATTGTGGGAGTCAGCAAGATCATGAAGAAAGATGGGTTTAGACTTTACGAATGGCGCATCATTAGATCACTTATCCTTCACTTGATTATTCCTTTCTAGAGTCAGGGGCCTATAAGTATGGGTCACAGTTGTTTGATTTTCTATGAATCCAAGTCTGTCAATGGTCTACTAAATAAATAATACGAATTTCTGACAGTCGCATGCTCTTCACCCCTATTTCTAGACTTTTCATCTTAAAAGGTAAAACAACGTGTCTTCCACGAGAACAACCACATACTCGGCTGAGTTAAAGACTTCTGGCGTGAATCCACATGCTCAGGAGGCGGGCTCTAGGCCTGCACCTCTTCTGACATCGTCGTTCATCTTTCTTGCTTGATGACAAATCTTGAAAATGAGACAAGGCCACGGGGTGAAGGTCTGCGTGGTTGGCACTCCTCGGTCATGACTGAACCAGCATGGAACAGGAGCATTGGCGACCGTTGATGAATTCTCAAGACCAGACTTGTATCTGATCACATGACAGACTTTGACACGATAGTGGGACATCTGTTACAATGACTTTCTGAGATACTCTTCACAGAACACAGTCTACGATTGCCCCTTCAAGGTCGACCAAAACTGTGTAGAAAGAGAGACCGAGTAGCAATGCATTTGTTTTGAGCAAGGAGTTAATGTCCATCTTCAACGACTTGAGTCAGAAGAGGTCTTCGCCTACGCAGACCCACCGCACCGGTAACCTATGCACCACTTCTATAGGCTCTAGCCACTTAGCCGCGCCCATTTCCTTGTTCATCTCGTGGAGTCCAATCACCCCCGTGCTGCAGGGTGCTCGTTGCCCCAAAACTCGCCTTTCACTGTTGGTACACTGTCGATCAGGGACACGAACATGCGAAGTTGGCAGTTGCCACATCTCCGTTCAGATGGGCGATCTAGAAACCGAATAGGCAACGAGCAACAGGTACCCCCCAGATCCCCACCGGGATCTTAGATCTCGGTAATAAGAAATAAGGCGATCGTGAACTAGAAAAGGCGGGGGTCCGCACCGGCCCTTTCTCAGCCTCTCTTGCGACCAACACTCGTTGGACAAGAACAGTGCCAGAAGGCGCCACAGTAGTCAGTCGTTGGTTGCGTCGCAGCCGGGACGCCGTCTCTTCCCCATCGAGTGGTTCCGGGGACAGCGTTGCGGTACAGCTCCTCCCCAACGATGACCGATCTCCCGAGAACATTCAGTGGCCAATGGGGGCTACGACGGATACCCGAAGGAGAGATGGGCGGCAAACTTGAGATAAGGTTGGGAACAAAACTTCTCTTGGCGCGCTCTCTCTCTGTCAGACTCTCTCTCTCCCCCGTTCTGAAGGCAATCCGGAGAGGTGGTCCTCTACACAGTATACTTTTTCTGCCTCGCTGTGGGCAGGTGATGGTGGGGGGGATGCGACAGCCGACTGAGTTTGGTAACGCAGGTCTCGAGATCGGCTCACTTGCCTGTCAGCTCTGACCAGGGGGACGGGGTTGGGGTTGGCCCTAGGAGCGTGAATGCCACTGTTTGCCGGATCTGCAAACTTCCAGTTCATCCCCCACAAAAGAGGAGTACCGGCCATTGAGCGACCATCAGAGTGTTTGTTCACTGGTGGAGACCTTTCACCCAGATGGATGGTTTTCTCTGGACACACTTCGAAGCGATTGCAAGAGATGATTGGTTGTGTCTTGTCGATGTGAGTGTGCCGGGACAACCCTAATAAGCTCCGTTCGCGACAGAAAGAGCCCGCAGTGCAGGCCACAGCAAGGGAAAGTCGTAGTGCCCCATTGAGCCACGACCGTTGCTTCGCCACTGGGCCAGCTGGAAGGTTGCCTCAATCCTGACCCATCTGCGAGATCAAACTTTTGATCTGTCACAAATTTAGCGGGTGCCCTTGGCGCCTGTCAAGTTTGCTCCGAGCTGAACAACCAGCATCTCCCCATCGAATTGGGAGTGGGGAATGGCGCAAGTAAAGCCGTGAATTAGTCTGGTCCAGATGGGCCGAGGTGAGTGATGAGTAACCTCGTCTCTCGCTCAGCGTGGGTGAAAACCGGTGGCCTGCAAAGAAGCAGCTGCCAAGCGCCATGCAAGCGCTCTTCGCGTCTTTGCAACGTCCACGGAGAAGAAGCATGTCGGCACACGACAGCTCACGTCTACCTGTGTCGCAAGGGATGTCTTCGCCTCCGATCCGATGGCCTAGCTCTTGGTGGGTTTGCTCCTTTCAAGTTACACTCCCCTCCAGGTTGTGCGCGCGGTGTCCAAGGGCCCAGGCGGGTAGATCCACGTCGATGGTGAATCGAGACGCTGTGCAGAATATCGAATGAGATTCTGCTAGATCTGCATGATTCTGAGATGCGGAAGGATCGTCTCCAGAATGGGAATTTGACAAGTTTCGCTGTCGGTCTGGACCGTGAATTTGATAAAGCCTACCATCCCCCCTTCGTCTGTGGCAACGTCCAAGTGGCTGGAATGGGCGATCAAGGTGCGCGGCCGGGAAATGCGACGGCGAGAAAGGGGCGACGACCCTGCACAAAGGGTCCCTGTGTGCTCCCGATCCACGCTAGTGATGCGGCTCGCGAAGGTCGGGGACGCAAAGCTTATTTCACAGTTGATTGGTGGCGTGACTGGTTGGCCGAGGGTTCCCTGGTACCGCCGGCGGCACAGAGATGTCCAAAAGAACTAGAAGTCGGTGTCCGGTGCACAAGACGGAGCTGCCCTGCCGGGGTGGATCGCTGCGCGGCCGTAGCCCGTCCTTCGGGTGGTGCTTCACGTCGACGATGCCCCGATTGCGCCGGTTGACCGCCGGAAGACTCCATTCGGGACGAACACTGTCTTAGGCCACTGGAGGAATGCTGGTGTTCCTCCGTCGGCACTGCGCAGCTGCCTGCAGAGTTGCTGAGACCGTCTGACGTCATACCACTGCAAAATGGGGACTGGCGAGGGTTTTTTTCTCTTTTTCTTTTTTCGCAAAACAGAATCAGGGTTGCATATTGGCAATGCGAGTCTGCCTTGATTTTCGTCATAGTCGTGGGTCGTGGAAATAGGTGGACGTCTTTGGTCGGACCCTGAAAAAGAGACGCAGCGGTATTCTGCGCCGTAGGCAGGCATGCCTGGCTGACATATGCGGAGTGCGTGTCCGAAATCGACAATGATCTTCGAATACATCTGAGAATCTGGCCAGACCAATCGTGGGCGGCGGTGGCAGCTTCCAAGTTCCAACAGCGGATAGCTGAACAGTGTGACAGTTGAGCTACCATAAGAGAGAGTCATGTCAGCGAGAGTATGGCTCCTTGGATCACCCCAAAGGGAGGGGTGAAGCAGTCAGGGGTGACGCGCCCTGGTAGCCAGGGTTGCCCAGCGGGCTACTTCGGAGTGACGGAAGAAGGGGGTACAGCTGACCAATGAAAAAACTGTGGAGGGAGACGGACACGTTTCCGAAGGCTCTGACTGGCCAGGGCAGTTCTACCTCCGAACCTGGTTCAGGAAAATTCAGGAAGGAAATGGAACTCGCAAGATTGACAACCTGATGATCGTGTCCGACATCTCTTTTCGGAATGAAGAAAACCAATCCGCAGCGGTGAGCTCCTGATGCGAAAGACCAATAGTTTTTTTAGTTTTTTTATTTTGATTCTTGCATCAACTTTGCAGCTGTGGTTGGCTGTGGGAAGTCCCTGGTCGTAGGTGGTTGTCTAGGTGGCACCTAGGTAGGTATGTGTGTTGTAAGTGTGCGCATCTATTCCTGTGCTAGACGATTGCAAGGTATGTTGTGGACAAAGCCGTTTCCATTGAAGAACACTGTGAATCGGCGATGAAGAACTGTAGAGAGCCATGCATTCGCGCCGTGGTGAAGGAGAATAAAAAATGAGCCGACACTTTGAATTTGAGTGGTTGCAATTTGCGAGGGGAAACGGTCAGATAATACGGTACGCCGGCATTGTCGGGCTGGTGGCCGAGGCCGTAAATTGTGTCGATGACACAGCAAAAGCAAGATCGCGGGCTCATGATATTGCGGACTCTCCTTCGACATGACTGGTCGTCTTGCGGCCCGTGTGCTGCATGAGTGTTGGCTGCCAGCGTGCCGCAGCTGAGCCTCGACCTCGTGAATTCGATTTTAACGAATGAAGACGAGTCGTTGCAATTATCGAATGGAGCATCCTTGGGCTTCGTTAATTGCTTTGTTGTTTCGACTTGTTCGCTGCCGAAGATGGACGCGGCCCGGGATGATGACCAGGCCCTACATAGAACGCGCTGTCCCCTTTTCAAAGAGCAAGACAATCTTTCGACCGAAATGCCCCAGAGGACTGTGTTGAGATTCTCAACACGAGGATTCAGTGTTTCCAGGCCGAGCATCTCCAGTCGAACTCGACTTGGTTTGGAATTTGGAATGACAGTTGTGACACTGTAGCTGCTAATCCGACCTCAGCCACACGATGAGCCCGTTCAGGGTGTGGTGTGGCATGATGTAAGCAGCGCCGTATCACTGATCAATCAGTCCGTATTGGCCTAGAAGATGCGACAGGCTGGCGGGGCGATGAATGTCACTCGTTGCTGCCTCAGCCACCAGCATGTCACTCGCTGTGCTCGGTCCCGGTGATGGAAGCTCCATGAAACTTATGTGGGGAGTATGGTGTGCACAGATGGCTGCAACCGCTGTCGGAATAGCCTACTACGAATAGTACCTAGGTGGGGAGGAAAAAAAAAAAGCCTTCACTATATACTGGAACGCTGGATGTATTATTTCTATCATCAAGCCCTAGAAGCGATTGTATCCGTACATTCGGATAGACACGCGGCAAAAAGGGAACCCGTAACGATCGGGTCCTTACCTTGTGTATCCGTACTGTCTGTGGTGAAGTGCGATTTACACTAGGGAGGAACCTGCCACCGCCATCAAACCAAAGGTCTGACAAGGGGGAGGGAGAGGGGGGGGGTTCCACGACTGAGAACCAAGGTAGAAAGAGAGTTTTCCCTGCTGTTCCATTTTTATTTTCTTCAATTCTTCCAAAGTACCTAGCTGTCTGCGTTTGCTTGCGATTGCCACCAGAGTTGAAGATGCACATGAATATACACGTGACTAGGATGGTGCGACGTACAAGGTGAAGGCCCTCGGACTAATGCAGAGGAAGGAAGCGCCGGTAGCAGTCTCGAAGAGGACACCACCAACAAGAGTTGCTCAAAGGCCTAGGTGCGTCCATCGCCCTTTCCCAGCCCTGCGATGGTCTGCCACTATTGTCTGGACTGTCTGGACTCTGCAGGTAGTGTACGGAGTAGAGTCGGGGGGTCGGCGGGCACACACCCACTCAGACGACACCAGTGACCAGCGGCCAGGGCATCTTTCCTTGGGTCGTCTTATCCACACACCCCTTTCCCTCTGCCAAAAACGCTGGAAAGCCACACGCCCCTCGGACGAGCACCCCACTTGCCTCTTCGATTGACTCTGATCCCGAGAACCCTGCCAGGTCCTGGAGATCAGACCAAGCAGCTTGCGAGCTTATGTGGAGCCACATCTTGTCCGCCCCGCACCACTCAACCAGCACCCCGAGCCGCGTGAACGTGCCCTCACCCATACATTTTAGCTCTTATCCCGGGCGGCGGAGATGTTTTCCTTCCTCGAGCCCTGGGTTTTGCTTTACCCAAAAGATATACACCTGTGCTGCCCTGTGAACGACAGATACCTGGCCTTGCTGTGAAACGAATCGTCCTCTCAAGTTTCTTACCAACAGCGCTGTCCATCGAGGAAAAGAGTCGCGGCCTAGGTGGCAAAAAGGTCACGAAAGCGGGCTAGGTACTCCTCTCTCTCACCATCGAGACACCAAATTCACTTGCTCGCTTCAACTCACAGAGATTCCAGCTGCGCGCCAGAAAGACAACCGAGCTGTGGAAGCACACTGAGCCTCAGGATTGAAATTAGCCGCAGTCTTACACTGTGCGTTTTTCTCCTGTTAACGTGAGTGCTACCCTCTCACCGTGTCGGCTTCTGACGAAGGTTGTCGTCATACCTTTTTCCAGCGTTCGATCGATCGATCGATGTCTCGACCAATCACAGCCCACCTGCCCAGTCGACATATACTCTCTCGTACCTACACAATTTCAGGGTCCAACACCTAACCATACACCCAACACTAATCCACCGCCTACAAGCAGTCTTACCTTCGAAACCTAGCATCAACATCCCTCATCGTCCACTTCATCGTCCACTTCATCGAAGTGGACACTACCGACACAACGGTTTGCACGACGACAACCAGAATTTCGACTCCATGTCGCATTCTACATACTTCGCATAGCAACGCGAGTACCGACGCAGAATCTGCCGACTCAGCTGGGCGTCTTGATGTGCCTAAAATGCTCGACGACCAGCCTACATCCAAAGGTGGGCGCCTACCGACGTCGCCGAAAGGACATCCGCTCCCGCGCCGAAGTTCGCCTGAGCATTCAATCACACTTCGCAACCATCGACTAGCACACGAAGCGACCGAGAAAGCCGCATTAAAACGCGCCTTGGCCGCTGCCAGCTCAGGGTCACCACCATGGCCTAATCGGCAGTCTTCTGGCGAGAGCCACAATACTGGCCCTAGCGATGCCGAAAAATGGTTCGATCAAAACAATGAGAATCCTACGACAATGTACGCCGGCGCGATGGACGGTAAGAGTCCTTGAGCCACCTTTTTTCTGGGGAAGGTCTAATTCCAGGTTCAGTCGATCCCCCATTCTTCCAAAAAGAGAGCGATTCCTCCAACGACGACGCGAAACCCTCGGCATATCCGACGCATTTGAGACCGGCCATGAACGGAGCGATGATCGGGGCCAACAAGCCGAGTGCCACGCATAGCAGCAGCGCCGACGACTATCGGAGCGTAATTGACGATTTGACGGTCGAGATCAAGAGGTTGAGGGACGAATTGAAACGATACAAGCAGAAAGGACCAGAATTGATGAAGAGGGATAAGCTATTCGAAATCAAGGTCCACGGGCTCCCCAACCGCAAGAAGAGAGAGCTGGAGAGCACATTGCGAGAATTCGCGTCAGGCCTGGAAAGCAGCACTCCGAGTGCCGAAGCTTCGTCGTCTCGAAAGAAGTCGAGGCACAACCCTCATTTGCACTCCGGCTCTGACTACTTGTCAAAGCATACTTCGTCTTCTTCAGGCTCACATTCAAGACCGGTCGATAGTGCGTATGCCTCGATGTCAACCGGAGCAAATTCCTCTGGTACACACCTCGCCCGGCCGTCCGTCAGCTCGAGAACGAAGTCATCGGAGCAGAAAGTGGAGAACTACTTGAAGGACATTCCTGAGGGATTGTACCCGCGTCATATGGTTTTGACCGAAAAAGACCGGAAGAAGTTGATTGTTCGTCGGTTGGAACAAATCTTCACGGGTAGGATCAGTGGACGGAACTTGGCTCGCCCTCAACAGAACTCATCAGCGAACATTGCCTCCTACGCTCCGATCATGGTGGAGCCGACGACCGGTAACACCACCACTCAACACCGGCCTTCCAATGTTCCCATCGGTTACTGCGAGCCTTCGCGCGAAGCCCCCATATTTGATATGGATGTGAAAAAGAATGTTGCCAAAGATGGTGAATCATCAAACTCGAATGGCGATCAACGGGACTCTGGTGGCAACTGGACCAACGCCGCAGATGTGAGCAGCACTTCACCGCCGGATCCGCCGCCGCCTGAGCAGCGCCCTACCAGACCGCTCGATCTCGACCCGGATCGTATGCAAAACCCGACCGCGAATATGGACTACATCCGTCACCTCGGCCTTGCCCCTCCTCATTTGACGACCTTGTCAACCGAGGGCGATGTTTCTCCGGATGCTGATGGTTGGGTCTACCTTAATTTGCTTTGCAGCATGGCCCAACTGCACATGCTCAACGTCGCCCCCGACTACATCAGGAGTGCAGTGTCTGAGAAGAGCACGAAATTCCAACTTTCTCGCGACGGTCGCAAAATTAGGTGGCGAGGCGGGACGGAGGGCACCAAATTTAGCAGTGACAGCTCAGGTCATACCTCTCAGCTCAGTCGTTCTGATGAGTCCGATGAGGCACAGCCAGACAACCAGGGCAAGAAGCGCAAACACCGCTCCGGGAAGGATGGTTCCTACTCCACTTCGTACGGGAAGAATCCATCCGACCAGTCGAAGTTGGAGCATCCAATCCCATCGGCAGACACTTTCCACTACAAGCCTCTTTTCGTGCACCAATCCTCATCTGCTGAACAGACTGAACTGGATGACGTTGGTTCATCGTACGGGGCTGCGGAAGACAGCAACAACGGGGAGTCACGATGGGATGGGTCGGGATCATCGCGCCGCAAGAGGCGTCGATTGGATGGTGCTATCATCTACTACAGCGGTGCCCCATTCTGTACCGATCTTTCTGGCGACCCTGGGGATGCGTCCCCCGCGTCGTACATGACCTCATCTGGCCAAGATCAACAGCTGTTTTCCAGTGCTGGATTCATCAGACCTGATCTTCCCTACCGAACTGAATCAGGCTCGGCCCTTGTGTATCGACCCTTGGTTGAGGGTCGTAAGGCCCCGAGTGTGGCTGTCACAACGGAGAACGGTTCAGATGAGAGTGATGGTGGCATCGAAGCCGACTTTCCCTGGTCCAACGTTCCTCAGGACGCTGTGAGCAGCAAGCTGGACGCCTGTGGTCTGGGCGGTGTCATCCCCGATGACCATTTTGTCGTTGTCGCTACTACAAAGAGGCCCAAGTTGGATGTGAAGCAAGAAACAACGATGGGCTTACAGTCTGAGGACTTTTCCAAGCTGATGCGCAGAATCACATCACCCTTGGGATCTTCCGCGTCCCAGACCAAATCAACAACTTCCGAGTCTCGCACCGAGTCTCGCAAGAGATCACCGATCAACATCGAGTACACGTCGAGGTCTGTTAGGAAGCTCAACCCTACGCCACTACCACCACCGGGCTTGTATTTCGCCTTCGACAGCGATACGTCAGACACCTCGGATGATGACGAATCTGATTTGGACGATCATTCAAAGATGGCAGCCGGTGTACGAGCTTTTGCCCCTGCTGTTGACAGACAGTATCCTGATGATACACAGATGTCGAGCGGGGAAGAGGGTGACAGCGAGCCGGAAAACGGAGATGAGCCGGCTGGTGTTGTGGAGGATGAAGAGAGCGGCGTCGAGTTCAAGATCCCCTTACCCCCTCGGGATCTGCGTCGCACCAGTAGCAGCAGTGCGGTCGCAGCTGCCGGAACCGCTCGAGGTCGCAGCAATAGCGCTGAACTTCCAGTCGCTCCTGGCAGCTCAGCTGCTACTGCAGGCGGGGCTGAGAGCGGCTACAGCAGTGGCCGCGAGGAGAGTGGGTGAAGTTGTGAGAAGAAGTGGCAGAGCAAGAGCAGGAATGTTTCTTCCAAGAAGGCCACGAGGTAGTTTGCTGAAGATGTGCATCGCGTGGCGCTTGGTTCGTCGGGATAGATTGGAGCAAGATATCCCACCATCATATTGGAAAGCATCATTTCATGTTTAATCATTTCATCCTACGTCAATTTGGGTTTGTTTGTCAAGCAGAGCGAATGTAGCCATTAGCGGGCACAAAAGTTGACGGGCTGCGGGCCGCGAAAACTACTGAGGCGTTTTCTCTTCAGCGATATAGTTAGGAATCCAATTCAAATGATACCCAAATTTACTTATATCCATACCACCTCCAACGACATTCACGTGCCGACTAAAACTTTTAAATTACAGGGCAGGCAGAGCAGATTCGGCAGTCTTGCATCGATTCGCTGCCCGGTGCCTCAATGCTTGTCATGCTGCCAAACGATCTCGAGTCCGGACCTATGTCGTGTCCAGCCCGGAACTATGTTCCATTTCCATGAGTACTCATGACCTTGGGGGTAGGGCTCGCGCCTCATCTTTCTAGATGTTGCGGCGTATCGCTAGGTCGTATCAGCTAACGAAGACGCATCGTGGCTGGGGTGGAGAGTAATGCTGGCTACATTGTACTAAAGCTTGATTTAGTGCCAACTTGTCAAACGATTACAGCCAGTTTCAACGGTATGTTAGGGCCTCATTATCTTTGAGCCTTTTGAGTTTTTGTAGCGGCTCGCCGTCTCATGTTCTTGGTATAAGCACTGGTCAATGTGTAATGAGATCAACAACTATTGGATGCTGAATCATACAAACTTAGCATGCAACAGCTGACTCGTCGATGACCACGTTCTCTCGAACCATCCAGCAACCATGTAGAAGACCGAGAGCGAGCCCAGTCCGACATCTGGCCGCAGCTGGCCACCGAGACACTCCATAAGACATATCGCTTAGGATACGAATGGGGGGGTTCATGACGCACTTGGCCGTTCACTTTTCTATCATCTACACCTCCTCCTTTTGGAAGTTGAGTAGATCGAAGTAGCGTTGCTTCGCCCTAATGCACAATGGTCAACAACGGTCGACCATCAAAAGACTGTTTCCCCTGTAGGCAAAGGAAGCTCCGGGTATGACATGCCTTGACAACCCACCCCCTGATCACCCCCTACTGCGTTGAGCATTCGGTAGTTGTATTTTCTGCGAGCTACTCGACGGGTAACAAACACTGTAGTGTGACCTCGTCTCTGAAGGATGCGGCCAGTGCCGGAGGGCCAAACTGAGTTGCCACGGGTACCGCGACTCGACTCTACCCAGCTTCTCTTCCGTGACGAGACCAAAACCACGGCTTCAAAGGTCTCGGCCCGATTAACTGCTGCTACTTCTCATTCGCACATCTTCTCGATACGGGACCCTCCCCATCTCACGTGGGAGGACATCTCCCGCGACACCTTTCTCTCCCTCTACGTCGTCGGGCTCAGCCACACTTTCGATACCCTCCCCGCTCTGTTGACAAACTCCCCGCCCAGCGGCCACTTACACATCAGCCTCGGCGCAGCCAGTCTCGCCTTCATGTCCTTCCACCTCAACCGGCCCGATCTCCTCCTCCTCCTCCTCCTCCTCCTCCTCCTCGCCAGCCGGCAATACGTCGCCGCCATCCGGAGCATCAGATCGGCACTGAGCAGCAATAACAACAATAGCAGCAACCTCCATCACAAACCCAACAACGACGACGAAGTAATTCAATCAGCCCTCCTCCTCCTAGACCTCTACGAAAAAATCGCCAACCGCCACGAACACCAATCCGCCTCCTGGCTAAGCCACGCCCGCGGCGCCCTGCACCTGGTCCGCGACCGCGCAAACACAGACTTCTCCAACCCGACAACCTGCCAACTCGCCAACACCGCCGCCGCAGCCCTCATGAGAAGCTGCGGCATCGCCGGCATCCCCGTCCCGCCCTCGCTGCTCTCCTTGCGCGAGGACCTCAACAGCTACGTCCGCGACGCGAAGTGGAGCTTCACGGGTCTCGTCGTCGGCATCGTCAACCTCCGCGCCTACATGCAAGGTCAGCCGCCCTCGGGAGGAGCAGCAGCTTGTGCCAGCGTGGTGCTGCGCCGGGCCAAGATTCTGGACGAGCACATGGCGCTTGTGGAGAAGCGGCTGCAGCGGTCGTGGAGGGCTACGAAGACGTTTACGACGGCGTATAACCCGCTTATTTTTGGGCGGTATTATGATGTGTATCCGAGTCATCACGCGACGCAGGTGACGAATGCGGTGAGGATGATGCGGTTGGAGTTGAATAGCATTATACGGCATGTGGATGGGGATGAAGAGGTTGCTATCGAGAGTCTGACGGGGGAGGTGATTCGGGAGCTCACGCGGCATTTGTGTGCGGGTGTGCCCCAGTTTTTGCTGGTGATTGGGGGCGAAGGGGGTACGAGTTTGCCGGTGTGTACGCTGCCGCCGTTGCAGAGGTTGCATTGCTGTACCATGTTGACGCCGTTGTATCTCTCATTTTGTCTTACGGAGGACTCGTATATGAAGGAGTGGATTCTGCAGATTCTTGTGTATATGGCGGAACATGGAGTTAAGCTGGCGAGCGATGTCTCTCAGTGTCGGATTGGAAGTCTAATTCGACCGCGGATAAGGGCAAGAGCATGGGCCACCTCGAGGTGGTACACTTAGACCGCGACTACCCAACCAACCTACGGTTGGAATCTCCCTTTTACACATTACGCAGAATCAATCAATACAGAGATATTGATACTTCGTCACCCCCAGGACCCTACGGTTCGAACCAACATCCCTGTGATAGGGATACCAACACTCAGATTATTTCGTCTGGGAGACTTGTGGATTATTGGGCATTTTATGCCATGGTTGGAAGCTATGCTATTGCAGCTTAATGAAAACGGATATCGAACTCGTTGATGATGGCCTTGGTACTACGATAAATACTTCTGGTGAGGAGAGACTTCTAGAATCTCGGTGACCACTGGGTAAAGCCTGAAGGATGAAGCGGACTATGTAGGTTAGCATTCTGGGTCTACGCGCCGATCCAAGACAACAACATCAACAACAACAACAACAACAACAACTTCAGACGGCGCCAGGACCTGTCTGCTCTAGGCCCTGTTGAGCCGCTCAATAGAACAGAAGGCTCCAGCCAGAGCAAAGGCAACTTCGGCGCACCACCGTTGTCCAAAACGACGGAGCTCGGTGGAGACCTATCTACGAAATGTCTGAGACGATCGGACCGATCCGTGGATTATTAAGCAAAACAATCCCCCGGCCGTAGAAAAAGCCATTGAGGGGAAATGAGCGTATCACTGATGTACGACAGTTCCGTGCCGTGAGGATACCGGTCAGGGCACTTGCAGTGATCTACTACAGGTTTTTAACAAACTGGCAAGTTCTTTTGTTCGCTTACTTTTAGAAGTTCAGATGATGTTCCGTTCGACTAGGAGGATTAGAGTTTGCTACTACGTAACGCTAGCCCGTTGGGGTTAATACCACTAACGGCCTATCCAGGCGCTCGGGAGCATCTGCAGGGATCATGTCTTGGTTCAAACGTTACTCGGCTTTTGTGGCACATGCTTGGCGATTTCTTCTTTGGGTAAAAAAAGACAAGTAGGTTTCTAAAGACGGCCTACTTGAGCGTGCTATCGACAACCTCGTCGGCGGTTTTTGGTATTTGCCTCCGAAATTTTGAGCCAAATCACATCCTAGAGAAGCCTTTCTGGGCTCATTGAGCCTACGTTAGGTTGTATAAGAAGTTTAGCAACTGCCGTTCGTGATGTAGTGCTTGTGACTGTTGGACACGTTTCTTGAGGCGTATTACTCCATCTCCACTCTCCACAAGCTCCTATACCCTAAGCAAAGCAGCATTCGAAAAAATCAGGGTGAAAAAGATGCCTTTTCCATACAAGACGGCTCGTATCACTGGCGCCACATCCGGGATCGGCCACGCTTTGGCAGAGCGTCTAATCGAGAACAGCATCCTTGTCATTGCAGTATTAGGGCGTCGTGCAGATCGCCTAGAACACCTTCTCTCCAAGCATGGAAGTTCGAGGGTTGCCGCTGAGGTCTACGATGTTTCTGATATCGACGGTATTGAGTCATGGATCAATGAGTAAATACATCTGGATGCTGTGATCCGCTTCAACCCCCTAAGCCAACTCCCCCATCTCGTCCAGAAAGTTGTCTTTGAACACTCTAAGTAGCATGTTGCATGTTGACTGATTAAACGCATCATCCAGAATGACAACAAAGTACGCAAAAATTAGACTACCTCATCCTCAACGCAGGCATCCAAAACACATTTAACTTCACCCCCGCCCTCCTAGAAACAGCCAAATACGAACTAAGTCTAAACTACCTCTCCCCGCTCGTCACAACAACACACATCCTCCCGCACTTCGAGTCCCCGTCCCCCTCCCCGACCGCCGTCATCCTAGTGACCTCGGGCCTAGCCATCGTCCCCATACCCCGCTGCGCAAACTACTGCGCCAGTAAAGCCGCGCTCCGGTCGCTGGCTTGGAGCCTGCGCGCGCAGCTCGCCGACCGCGGGGCCCGCGCCGAGAATATTCGCGTCGTGGAGATCGTTTCGCCTGCTGTTAGGACGGGGTTGCATTCGCGGCAGGCGGATCTTGTTGCGGCGGGACGGGATGGTGTGGGTATGCCGCTGGGGGAGTTTATTGATGAGACGTGGGGGGAGTTGGAGAAGGGTGAGAGGGATGATGTTATTATTGGGCAGGCGAAGTATTTTGCTCGTGGGGAGGAGGAGAGGAAGAAGGCTTTTGATGGGTTGCTTGCGATGGTGAAGGGGCGTTGAGAACTGTGAGTTGGCATCTGAGACGATGTTCATTCATATTTTCATCAATAAGTTCAAGATCACTCAGGATGCTGATGAGACCTTTTATCTAGCATATGATGTTCTGAACTCGCTGAAGTTGCCAACAAGTACTAAATGCCGTATGTGGACAACATCTTGTTGCAGGTCGATCGAATTCGTAATCTATCCGTCACAGGCGAGGAGAAAGTTTTGTTTGAGACAATAATAGTCTGTTATTTCTTGCTGTAGGGTTCCATCGCCATGATCCTGGATTCTAATCCAGAATCAAAGCAAACCAAATTTGAGCTACATATCATTCATTAAGCTTGGCCACCTCTACATTCGCACCGTTCCAGTACCAAATCCTTCTTTTTCTTCCAAAGTGCTGACAGGTTACAGTTCCAAATGGTTCCCAACTAGTTTCTCTGATCTCCTGGGAGACTACCAGTCACTATCATCGGCGGCCTTGTCACAGGCTACGCTTTAGATAGTAGGGGGAGGAGCCTGCTGGTTGGTGGCAGGAGGAGGAGGAGGGGGTCTCTGGTTGGGGTCGACAGCCCGAGCGTTGTTAGGCTTGGGAGGAGGAGGGGTGTTGTCGTTGGCCGGGGGAGGGGGAGGAGCCTGAGCTTGCTGGTTGGGATTGACGGCTCTGGCGTTGTTGTTAGGCTTGGGAGGAGGAGGAGTGTTGTTGTCCTTGGGAGGAGGGGGAGGCTGCTGGTTGGGGTCGATGGCTCTCGCTCCGTTGGGCTTCGGGGGAGGAGGGGTGTTCTCCTTGGGAGGAGGAGGAGGAGGAGCCGCTTGAGGGTTCACCGCCCGGCGGTTGTTGGGCTTAGGAGGAGGGGGAGTGTTGTCGTTGGCAGGAGGAGGAGGAGGCTGCTGGTTGTTGTTGCCAGCATTGCCAGTGTTGCCAGTGTTGCCGGTGTTGCCTCCAGCTCCGGCTCCGGCACCATTGCCGGCACCTCCGCCGTTACCACCTCCGATGGCACCAGCGCCGCCCTGAGGAGCGGGAGCTAGAAACACAAGAGTTAGTCACTTGGTCTTGTAAGGTGTCTGTGAGAGTACATACCAGTCAAGGCATTGCCCGTGAGGAGGGCGATAGCAAGCACGGTGAGAGTGGTGTAACGCATTTTGACTAGGTATTGAAGACTTGGTCAAGAAAGTCAAGTAATGACAGTATAGAGGTGAGAGAGTTGAGGGTATCGTCGAAAGAATCGAAGAAGAGAAGAATCAAGAGAGAATATTGAATATGACTAAAGTTAGATGTGCACAGCACGGGAGAAGGTTGAAGAGTTAGAAAGGATGTTGAGTGAAGTTAAGAAACTGTTGATGAGAATGATGAGAAAAAAAAAGACTTGATTTCCGTCGACGTCGAATGTGTCTTAATAGCCATGAGAAGACTCAAGACTTGTCGCAATCGGCAAGCATCATGAAGACTTTCAGCTCCACCGATCCCATCATCCAGCTCGTCTCATGTTGCCATTCAGCTGACGTTTTTCCCAGGGCCGTCTTTGCCGATGTCTAGAGCGTCGTGTCGAAGCAAGTCCCGGCATGTCAAAGACTGGACCGACATCACGACATCACCCATTTCCAGCATCTTGCAACATCGGGAGTTTAGATGGCATGTCATCGTCCACCGAACCTCAAACGAGCATTGACATGCTTGCAAAGGCCTGTGAAGGCCTGCGATGGGGGATGAACCCAGCCCCCAATCGAACGATTACGAAGCTTGAATTAGGTAAAAGTAAACAGAAAGCAGACTAGTCCGAGGTCTAACGAGAATAAACGGTTCGGCAGAGCCCCATAGCCTAGAGGCCGCCCCCGGAAAGTGGTGCTGAGCCTCAATTCTCTATTGAGGCTTGGCTCCCTCTGCCGTTGCGGTCCAGCCGGGAAGCCTTGTGGGGTGGGAGCGGGAGCTTGTTTTCGGGACCCCATCCGGTTCGGAGAGAAAAGAATAATGGTGGGAAAAGTGCTGAAAGGGGTTCAAACAAGGAGTCGCATCACGGAAAGCTGGGGGTTTCTGAGCTCTGACGTTGCCTTGTTAGATTCGCAATCCTCTTTTGGTCGTCTGTGGTCCTTCGTTGGTCCCCGCATTTTCGTGTTTCGACTGATGCTGTGACATGCCTGCCGGGGGGGGACCGCACCGATTGATTGCGCGGCCCGATCTACAACGTGATGTGGGAGGACCCCGGCGTCGATGGCTAAATGCGGAAACTTCTAGGATTTCTAGAAGCTCCTTTTTCTTCAGATCTCCTCCATGAGGTGGTGAGGCTGAAAAACTTGTAACGTGAGTGCATTGAGCGAGACTCGGTTCTTCAAACATTCTGGATCTTTTCGTCATCAAAGTTGGAAAATCGCAGGTGGCTGGGCTGCACACACCGCCTCACCATTGGGGGGTCCGAGGGTAAGGGTATGGAAGCAACATATGATGTTCAGTAATGATAATATCACTAATTATGACTTTTATGATCGTCACGACTTACAAGAGCCTCCCGAGACTACGTATGCCCATGGAGGCAAAAGCGGCTCGATTCGGGCATGCCGGCGATGCTGGCCTACGACGAGTGAGAGTAAGGGGAACAGGTTCTGGAATGAAATCTGTACGGGTGCGGAATTTCACTGCTCATCCGAGTGCAAGATGCACCATAGTGAATCATTCAATGTTGCGAAGACGCGCAAAGAGGCGCTTGACTTCTCGCGTACAGTCTGCAAGTTCCATATATTATGAAAGATGCTCAAGTCTCACATGCAAGGGCTTCCCCGTCATTGCTGGTTCAATTTTTGATGGCAAACATCCAGTAAACGAGGTTCTCAATATAAATGAGTTAATAAACGTTCTCTAGAGCTAGCCATATCCCCAGAAGCGACATGAAGATTAAAGCTCGTCGGCGAGCTAGTGATTAAGCTTGCCAAGCTTTGGCGAGTGGGCTGAGGGCATATAAGCCTACTCATGCCGTTGGAAAAGCTTACAATCTATGCAGCGGGTCTCATTGTGTCACTTAGATTGCTGCTCGCCACTGGTCAGGTGATTCTCTGCATAAAGTACGTCGACTACCGACCCATGAGCTGCACTGACTACTATGATGAGTTTCTACGAGAAGGACTCGGTAGTAAATCTGAATTGTAGTCTACGGAGCCGGTATCTTTGATCTTCGAATGTTGTGACTTGTCTTGCCTGAGTTAGTTTGTGAGACATGAGACATTGTCAGGGAAAGATCGTAACATTAAGGCAGTTATGCCTTTTTGTGAATTATGAATAGCTGTAGCTATGAGAGGAAGAAGTGAGTACGTTATCGACGTTGATAGTCAACTGCAATTCAAATGCCAAGACTCTAGGGTACGGATGTAAGCTACATTCAATCTATTGTTTCTGTTATGAGTCCGAACTTTTATCATGAGCGTGAGTTGTAAAAGTTCAAAGGCCTTCTTTGACTAAAACTATCTCATTAATAAAATAGCGAAATCGACAGTCATCTACAAGTTTACTTGTAAAAGCTATCTGATTTCTTCTTCTAAAAGCAGCTGCAACAAAGAGTACAAATTGCATATGCAGAAATTTTATTGAATTCAAATCAGAATAATTTTGATAGAGAAAAAATACAGGATTCTACTGCGACCATCCGTTGAGAAAATCCTGGAGAAGCCTCGCCATTTCAAAATCTTCCCTCCGATACATAGCCGTCGCGCATCCATGATCCCACGAGTTTGATTATTTTCTAGCAGGATGCTGGCTCTCTGTTCTTGACCATGGATTGAAATCTAGTTTGATACCTAAGCAGAAAAGAAGAATTCTGCTGAGTTCTGACAGACAATTAGAGAGAAATACCCACGAGTCCGCATAGTGGGCTTGATTCCTTGATTCCTAAATCTTAGAGGGGACGGAATCGAGGAAAAAAGACACTATTGTGAAATGAAATTGGCTACAATCATCGACGTTATCAACAACATCACAAATCTGCCCATGGAGCATATATGTACAACTAGCGAGAAGGCCCGCGACTCAACCAAGTCAAGAAGTTTACCGCTTCACTCTACGCTCAAGTTTACGGGCTAGGAACATTACTCTTACTAGTTGTCGGTCATCCGGCGGCGAATCCAAGGACTAGAGGTGCAACACGCCCAACTACGTGTACTCGGACGTAACGTCATATCATTCCTTAAGATTATTTTGGTATACCTGTTCTCACTCATCATCCTCCTCAACATCCGGCTGTTTGATAGCATACCCGTCCACAAACCCATCCGGATCACATATCCTCTCAAGACTAATTCCATTAGCAGTAACCCAAGCCCAAACAGCCGCCTTATCAACCCTCACCCTCGGAACATCAGGCCGCGGCCCAGCATCCGCCTCCTCCATCTCAACATCCTCCTCCTCCTCCTCTTCCACCGCCTCCCCACCGCCGTCGACACCATCCTCCCCCGCTATCCTCTTCCTCCTCCTCTTCTTAGCCGGCGGCTTCCCAAGCCCCCTCCCAGCCTCAACAACAACACCCATCTCCCGCAACGTCGCAAGACAATCCTCCAACGCGATCCACGTCGCTCGGCTACAGTCCTCGAGATCAACTAGCAACGCCGGATCCGCGTCATTCCCGCCCCTGCCATTACTTGGACATCCCAACACCCAACTTGCAACCTCCCCGCCCCAAAACCGCTTATACCCCTTTCTTCCTAGTTCCGAAATAGGTTTCTCCGGCCCGCCTAGTACACCCTCGCGCCGCGATATCTCGTACGAAACGCCCATTAGCAGCGCGCCGAGGCCCTTTTTCTGCCAGGGCGGGAAGACGAGGATGCAGGCAAGGTTATTGTTGTCCCACGACATTTTCTCCTTGGAGAAGAAACCGACAATGTGCGGACGCGGCGGCGGCGACGACGGAGGCGGTGGTTGTGACTGTAATGGGTCTTGTTGGGAGGCGGGGTTGGGGGTTGGCTTGGGGGCAGGAGGTGTGTAGACTAGGAGGAAGTAGTTGAAGCCGCGGACGTCGAAGAAGACGGACTTGTTGTCGAGGAAGAGTTTGGCGAAGAGGGAGAGATTCTGGCAGAATAGCTGGCGTGATGATGTTAGTTCCAATATTTTCACTCGCAGAAAACGTATCTCCCCCATTCTCGCCATGAGGAACTCTCGGAAAGGGGTAAGGTTGCACTCACCACATCCTGCTCGCCATCAACTTCCCACACACTCCACTCCCCCTCGTCTGTAACATACTCCTCCGTATACTTTGGCGCAACATTCGTCTTCTTCCCCGTCGTCCGCGCAATCTCCTTACGCACCAGCCTCCGGCCCCTCGGGTGCCGGTAGACCTTCCGTCCCGGCACCACCCCGTTGCGCTCGCACATCCGGACGTGACCCCACCACGCCACGAGTTCCTTGGAGTACTTGAAGCACATGGGACACACGTATAGCCTGTCCAGCATGGGCGCGTCGCCGCCCTTGCGGTGCTGGTTCTTTGCGCCGCCGTTGCTGTTATTCGCGCCGCCGGCCACGTCGTGGTGTGCAAGCGGGTTCTTGCTCCCGCCGCCGCCGGCCTTTGCGCCTGCGGCTTCGCCGAGGACTTCTTTGCCGTAGTAGGATGGGTACCACGCCCGGAAGCAGATGTTGCCGAGCATCACCTTGTCGATATTCCGATCTGTCCGCGGGGCGGATTTGTCTGCTGTCCTCGGAGGGGGTGGTGGGGCCGTTGTTGCTGCCGCTGGCTTGGAGGGTGTCGATGTCGATGCCGGGTGTACGGGGACGGGAACGGCGGTGACGGTCGCGGGTATGGTGTGGTGGTAGGTAGGTCGTGTCGTTGTTGTTGTTGTTGTTGTCGTCGACGAGATTGGTCGGAAGTGCTGCGTGATGGGCGGCTGGCTCGTGGGCGGGCTTGGGCGGACGAGGCTGCCTCCGGTGCGGTGGCGGTGGGCTTGTGTCTGCGGTGCTTGGTAGGTGATCTTTGGCGCGACGAGCGTCACGGGCCTAGGGTTTTCTTTTGCGTCTTTGAAGGCCATTTTGGGCGAAGAGTCGTTTGCGCTCTCGCGTCGTTGGCGGGTTACGCGGGGTTCTTGCGGCGTGGGTGTCGAGAGTTGACCGGCCGGTCGTGGTATAGATGGTTGCTGCTGTGCTAGATGCGATGCCGACGATGAAGACGTAGGCGGTACTGGTATGGGTATGGGCGTCTCGGAGATCTTGGACGGTGGGTATGGCTTGGAATTCGAGGGACGACGTCCACTGGTACGCTTGTCCTCGGCGACGGCGGTAGCAGTAGCGGCAGCGGAAGGGTGCAAAGGTTGTGAGTGGGATGCGGTGACGGAGGTCGGGATCGGAGGGGGTAGAATCGGAGTTTGACGCGTTGCGCGACGCGTCGTCGTCGGATCGGCGGGTGTTGCGCCGGCGGCGACGGCAGAAGCGGCGGCGGTGGGGGGTGGAGGTTCGGGATCGTCGTGGGGTCGCTTGCGCTTCGCCGGCGCCATGCTCGGGGGAGAGCGAAGCGGGATCGTGTGTGGACGAAGATATTACGCCAGCGACTCACAAGGTATTCGGTGAGAGTTCCGGAGCGCGCGAATGGAATCAATTAAACTTTGGGGCCTCGTGGGCGGGAACGACCTTGCAGGGGTTGAGGATTGAGAGACTGGCGAGAGAGATTCAGATCGGTAGGTGGGTAATGGTTGGATGGGTCCCACGGACACGGGAACCACCAGCGTCGAACCGAGACAATTTCGTGGGATCTTCAGTGTAGGAGCATGGGAAAAGCTGTCTCACATGGTCAAGGGCGACGACTTGAGTCACGAGCGAGGCGCTGCGATGGGAATGTGCTGGGCGCAATTCGTGTTTCAATTGGCGATCTGTTGTTGATTCAGTCGCGACCGAGACATCTGCGTCCCTTCCAGTTGGAAGCAATGACGTTGAAGCTTACATAAGACGTCCTCGTTTATCCTTATCCTTATCTCTGTCTTTATCTTATCGGAAGATAGGTAGTTACCCCAAGCTTACCTACCCCAAGCCACACAACCCTCGCTACGTGCATGAGCAAGAAATTTCCGCGACGAAAAAAAAACAAAACAGAAATACTCCGGAAAAAAAAAAAGTAAAAACCCACGATGATTGACCCACGAAAAAGAATCACGCCAACAGCAAAATGTGAGGTCCATCCAGGATTCGAACCTGGGCCTACGGAAGGTTCTGAGAATCAGAATCCGACGTCCTAACCAACTAGACTAATAGACCTGAAACGGCTTATTTGCTGATGATGAGGGAGGCCTTCTCGACGTCCATGATCCCCATCCGCAGGTGGAGTCCCTACGTCGATGTTACCCCCATTCCCTCCGTCACGAGACCCTCAATCTGTCGACGGGCATCTTCCGGCCCAACTTGGCCAGAGAGCCTCGACCTTCACAAAGACCTCGCAGAGCGCACCAGCCAGGAGAGACTTCAGTGTTTGCGCATTGTGCAAAACGGACCTTTGGCGTTCATAACCCGGTCAAGCGTGTCGTCGTTGCTGTCCCAATCTTTAACAAGGACCTTTTGTTTCCGTCGAGCAAAACCAGCATCGCGATTACGATATACCGAGTCGATTTTGCGCACGTCAGTCTTGTCACTGGTCATCCACCGCAACTCCTCATCGAGGAACCTCGTATAAGTCATGTCGGTACCGAATTTGGCCCTGACGTTGGCTTCGAGGTGGGCATCGACCGCTTTCTCAATGGCCTTGTCTTTCGTTGGCGCTGACACCGAGTGGAGTTCTGGCATTGTCGAATCTGCCGACGGGTTGAATGTTGGCTCCTTTCGGCTCGGATCAGGAAGGATGGAGTCGGCGCTGTAGTACAGCAAGGAGCTGTTCAAGACAGCGGCGTCGATCTCTCGCAACTCTGGCGGTGTGATCGGGCAATGGCCGAGGTTCAGGTACTCGAGAGTCTGATTTGTCGACAAGAGCTCGCAGAGAACTGGCGCAGCGGCATTTTGGATGTAATTCCATGCCTGGCCGAGGTCGAGGGTCGCATATGCCTGGCCAACATCCACCATGCGCATACCGGGATGCGACGTGACAGCCCGGAAGATGTCAATGGCGCCGTCAGTAGTCAGACCGGCAGATTGGAGTGACAGCCGCTGGAGTTGAGTGGCCTGGCGAATTCCGGAAGCGAGAACATGCGCGCCTTCATCGCCCAGTGGGTTGCATGACAGGTAGAGCGAGGCGATTCCGCAGGCAGGAGAGGATAAGAAAGCGGCGATGGCAGAAGCGGCCTTGGTCGATATGCCGTTTCCATTGAGGTATATATTTCGCAGGGGTAGTTTCTTACGGCCGGGAACTGCACAGGAGAAAGCTGTCAGGCGTCGAAAGAGCTCTGCGATGCCCGCATCACCCAGCTCAGTCTGGTCGAGGTCGAGAGTGCGGAGGTTTTTGGTCTCAGTAATGAGCCGGAATACATCTGCAGCGGCCGCGGGACCTAGTGGGTTCCGTTTCAGCCAGACGTTCGTCACTGCGTCTGAGTCTACCATGGCATCGACGAGGACCCTGAAGCTGGTGGCGTCGATGCAATTGCCTGCCAAGTACCAAGTATCCATGCGTTCGGGGAACTCGCGGATGAAGCGCGCGATCTCCTGAGCCCCAACCGGGCCAATGATGTTGTTGCCCAGGAGGAAATGTCGTACGAAGGGGTTCGGCCGTAAGCTGTCCATCAGGCTGCCAATGTGGTCTGGACCAACGACCATTTTGCACAGATCCATGCGACCGTCTTGGTAGACGACACCTTTGCGAAACTCTGCTCCTTTGACGCCATAGAAGGGCTCACCTTTGCCTCCATCGAGATGCTGCGCAACGCCGCCGGCGGAAGCCTCATCCAGCTCGTGGGTGCCGCCATGTTCGAGGTGGTTGAAGAACGGAGCCAGGTCGGCGGCGTCAGCAACGGAAACGGGCATCGGGATGGCTTTAGTGCCAGCGAGGGACACGGGGAATTTGGACGGGTCCCATGGGCCCTGAGCAAGGATGCGGGATGCCCAGACAGGCGCATGTACGCCCGGGGAAGCCCCGCCGGTCAAGCCGCGGAAGCTGTGGCCGTTCCGTTTGGTGGCGGCAAAGATGTCGTATTTCCGCTGCAGGGCAACCCATGCACGCAACCTCACCCTCGCCGCGTCGTACCGAATGACGGGTGACACAGCAGTATCGTGGGTGGCGGGATACAACAGCGTTGCAACGACCACGGCAAGACGAGATCGCGCAGATTTCCGGCGCGGGAGACTAAACAGTTCGTCTGGCAGGCGAATTGTGTCCATGGGCAGCGAAAGAATCTCATCGGCCGTGTACGATTTTGAGTGATCAAAGTTTGGCATTTCAGCATCGAGAAGATTGAAAGCCACTCGGCAGAGAGCGGCTAGGCGAATTGCTTCTGCCAAGTCATCTGGCGGAAGATTACTGCCATCAACCGTATTGTTGCTAGGCACGGTTGCGGTTAAGGCATAGGGCTGACGGTAATCATAATCGCCCAATATTGAAGAGGTCGATGTAAGTTGGACTGTAGTGGCGGAAGCCATTTTCGTGTCAAGTAGTGAGGATATGGATGGGTGTTGGTAGTGTATTAGACTTTGGTGTGTTTGTGTCGATACTGCGATTCAGACGAGGTAAGGGTACTCGGTTTGAACCGGATGTCACACTTATATGTTGAGCATCACAATTCCCAGATAAACGACATGATTGTGTCGGTTGACGAGGTTTCGTATGAAGTGACTCAAGGCATGTTGTTGAGTGCATCTTCCATTCGCTTCTTCGCCCGGCCATAGTCCGAGTCGATGTACGCTTACTCTGGGGCCGTTGGAAGATGCTCTGGTTTGGCCAAGGGTAGAGCTTATAGGCAGCAAGTGGATTGACGAATCAGAGTTGCGGGTGGTAGCCCAGAATGGCATCTGTCATGCCGGTGTAGTTTGTCGATGTCGTTGCAAGGGCGCAGTTGACGAGAGTTTGACATAGACATGTCAAATGTCAATACAACTTAAGTTAATAGTCATAACATCAGACGACACATGGCAACGGGCAGGAAGAGGAAGAGGAAGAGAAAGAAGCCACTGGTTCGTTCCGTCCGAGTCTGTTGGAAGAATGGCTTCTCCACCTCTTACTCTTTCCACGTTTCGCAAACGGCAGGCATCGCAGAGATGACTGCATGACAAGGGTGGCTGGTGAGATGATGACATAAGGAACCTGGATATGTGGCTGGATATGTGGCTGGATATGTGGCTGGATATGTGGCTGGATATGTGGCTTGAGTTTCTGGCACCCACCAGCCACATATCAAACCACAACTCCCGCCTCCCACAACCACAACCAGAACCTCCACCTCTCACCAGCAACTCACGACGCTTCTTGGCTGTGATGCAGCAGCACCCACACACACCTTTTCTTCCTCCCCCTCCCCCTCCCCCTCCCCCCTTCGCAAGCCGGCACCTCACTCACACCTCGGAACTTTTCAGCTGCAGCGCAACATCAAACGTCTCTATCCCCTGCCCGTCACCTTGTCCCCCGGCCTTTCCTACGTTGTATCGCATGACGGCTCACATTGCCCAGGCCTCGTCTCGTCGCCCGCATTGCAGCCCTGTTTCGTTGCCATTTGCTTTCGGTCTGACTCTGTCACGGAGTCACGGCTGACCGCGACGTCCAGGAATCCACCGCAATCAATCTGTGTAACACGGCGCAGACCACGTCAACAAACGCCCATCACGTCGCCCAAGGGCCAAACATTATGTGTGTGTGTGTGCCAACCAAGGCACACAGTCATCAGTCACCACACCCCATCCGTCGTCCCCCAGCTCTGCTATATAATATGCTCCCTGCGGTTATTAATTTAGCACATTTGTGATTCGTCGGCTGCGCCTGTCTCGACCTTGTCTCTCAGAGTCTCATATCGCTCGCGCTTGAACTAGACAATTTGCTTTTTCCTCTTTGCTTCTTCGACGGCACACACACGCACTACGCTCTCTCTCACGCCATGTCACAATGTACCCATGCAGCGGTGAGCAGACAGCGGAGCGCCGGGACTTTTCTCATATTCGCCAACCGCCCGTAACCCATTCCAGCCGTTTTCGTGAATCTTCGGATGGTCTGAGCAAGGAATCTCAGGTTTCTACCAACAGCGAACAAACTTCCGCGGGAGCAAACAATCCCGCTGACTGCAGCACGGTCAGCATGGTCTCGCTTCGTCTTGCCTGCCTCCCCCGTTGGCCAATCCTCTCATCTTCGCTTGGACTTGTCTCGTTTCGTTCCGCCCATGCCGACGAGGGCAAGAGAAGTAAAAAGTGATATATCGTGCAGCATCCCACGGCTGCAGCCCGCTCTCATGCGAGCAGCCGACCACTCACAGACCCTCGGGACCATTTTGCTTTTTGCCGTCATAAATTCTCTCCCTCGGGCATCGACGCATGCGATCAATCGGCAATGTGCCAATGCCACAATTTCGGCCAGTTGACACGAGGCTCTGAATCGGCTAGCGACATGCTGGAGTGCTTACCGGAGCCCTTGATTGGAGTCCACATTGCTTTTCTGCATAAGCAGAATGGCGATCTCTTCGGGAGGCATGCAGGGAGGGGCAAGCCATCGAGGCTGTGGGAGACACTTACGCACGCTAAGAAAAAGATGGTGGTGTGTCTCCCAAGTTCCCGGTCAGGCGGGGGTGCCTTTTTTGCCTTTTTCCTTTCCAACACCCTCAACAGCAGCACCAGCTGTATAGACGAGGTTAGCCCTACCAACAGCCCTCCAGAGTCCAAAGTGTGTTGTGCGTTGGATGTGACGACGAAGAAGAAAACACTTTGCCCTTGGCATGTTGGCTGGAGAGGGATTGGCCCGCGCGGGGAGATGCAAGACAACCCTGTCTCGGTGTGGTCGAGCTGGCTGACCGCTCCCCCTTTGGTCCGATCGTTTGGTTGAGTCTCTTGTACCGGGAAGAAGTCGTTCCGTATATATGTCCAAAGGCCTGCTGACGAGCGAGCGGCCTAAGTTCACTCTTTTCTCACGGTTTGAGGCTGCTGCTGCGTTCCGAAAAGCAAGACTTCTCTTCCTCTTTCGTCTGATTTTTCCCAGTTCATTTCAGCATGTCATCCTTTCCAATGTTTGCTCCCATGCCACGCAGAAACGTGGATGGGCCAGTCTCCCACGCCAAGTGGCCGACAGTCGACGCCTTCCGCTCGACATCGGCATCGTCACCGTGGGATGTGGATGATTCGACGGCCCAGACCGTCAGCAAGCTCAACTGTGTCTTCGGTTTCCGCCCGTTCAACGCCTACGCCAAGCAATCACCTCAAACGTCACCCGAAGAAGCATCCAGATATTCCCCTGACTTCCAACATCTACGTCTAGACCAAACCCCCGAGCTACGACAAGACACCCCTTCAGATGTGCGGACACGGACGTCTTCGTTTGGACCGGAGACGCCTCCCACCAAGCTTGACTCGTACTTTGCGTCAGAACCGGCCGTTCAACCTCCAACACCGAGTCGGCCTGGCCATGCCCACATACGCTCCCACTCGGATAGCTGCAGCATTACAAGTCTCTGGCCAGATAGCCAGGGCCCATATCGATTTGGGGGCGAAGCAACATCAAATCATGGGGTCGATACCAAGCAGTATGGCTACCTCGACGCAGCAGCACCTCGCTCGGGAGATCACTCTCAGTCTCAACGGCATTCCCGGAAGGCATCATCACCTCACCAGAACTACACCGTCACACTCACCCGCAACAATCGCGCCGTCACCCTCATCCTGCAGCAAGGCCCCCCAACAAAGCCCAGACAAGCAACCATCACCTGCTACCGCCAAACCTCCCTGGCTCTAGATGGACCCTACGCCGAATTCTTCAAGGCATCCGAGGCCCTGGTGTTGCTGCAGCACATGGTGAACGCATCATCAATGTCCTTTGTGCCCTTTAGCAAACGGGAACGCTCCGAGTTGATGCTGCGCATGCGAACCTCGCCAGATGCCATGATCCTCGGCGAGCTCTGCTCCAATGCCCGCGCGTGGACGAGCTTCTTCTCCACGGAGCTCGGTGCCGGACGGGTTTGGGAGGTGGGTACCGTCATCTTTCCCTGGAAGGTGCTGGAGAGGCTGATGGGCTCTCTCAATTCTGAGGTCGCGCGCAAGAGGAGAGTGCAATCTCGCGCCGCCGCTGCTTTCAACAGGCGAGAGGGAGAAGAGTATGCGGGACCTAGAGGAGGACACGGAGGCGCCGCCTTTCAGCACAACTACAGCCACTCCTACGATTCCCGTCCTGTATCTCTGCACCTCGCCAACACGGAGCATGGCGGCCTCGAAGCAGCAGCAGCAGCAGCAGCAGCAGGGGACCGCAGCTCTGTGACATCCGGCTCGCCTCCCCCTCGGACACCGACAGAGGTCCTCCCACCCAAGCTGCAACTCGTATCGGAGCAGCGTACACCCCAGCTTCATCAATCTCCTCCTCCTCCCCCGACGGCCGTGACGATGTCGCAAATCCGAACGCGCAGACGCCAGCACTCGGAGCCCGTAGTTCGGCGCCTAAGTCTGACGCAGTCACGCATCGCACTGCTGAAATCCAACCCGTGCCGGCAGAACCTGCGCCGTCTCAATGCCGCGTCAACGCCGACGCGGCTCGAGTTCTACGACTCGATCCGGGCGTGGCCTGCCAGCTCCCACCGGGCGCGGGTGAGACTGCCGCCGTGCTCGCGGTTCTTGGAGATGGTTGAGGACCAAGGGGCTGATTCTCATAATCCGATTGTGGTATGAGAGTGGTCTCTCCTTTTGGACCTGGCTTTCTCCAGTGCATTATTACATGTAACTTCTTTCATGTGTTTTCTTCTTCTATTCTGTTCTTGTGTTGGCCTGTAGAACATGGGGGGAGCACACTCGACCATGCGCAAACATTCCACTCTGCGCAGATGTTGTTGGGTTCAAGACCTTTTAGACGGATTACTACCTTATGTGTACACGGGAACGAAATGGGTTTATGAGAAATGGACTATATGAAATGGAAAACGAAACGAACGATACAAAACAATTGTTAGAAATAGGGCACGCTTTTTCGAGGGGCACTTAGATAGAGAGACAAACAGGATCATGCGGTTTTTCGCTGGGCGAAACCGCCAAATCAGACGGCAGGACCTGATGAACAGGAAGAAATGGTGTCAACCGTCATGAACGAACAATGTCCTCGCGGTCTTGTTCCATGGACTATAAATGGCTTGACGACTCTAGGTCACGAGTAGCGATGTAAACACACGAAATCAATGAGAACAGAACTACCAATTCGTCTTCTATGCGAAGCAAATCTTTACCTTTCCACTAGTTTCCTCCCTCTCTGTCTCCTCCCTTCCGCGAACAGCTGTAGTGAGTCAATGGAATGTCAAAGGTTACGTCCGTAGCTTGTCGATGGATCACAATCGCATCATAGCTCCGAGCTTAGCTAGAACTTTCGAGATGAGGAATGTGAATCCTGTCTCTCGCGTGCCAAATCGGACACGCGACTTTTTTTTCCTTCGATCTGAGACCGACGACATGCTCCGGAGAAATTGAGGTTGGTATGTAGTCGTAGATTAGCAGAATCGGTTCTAGAACTTGGGTGCGCGGATAAAAGTCTAGAGATCATCGGGAAGACTTTCAGAGGTTTTTGCTCCGGCCATCAGCTAAGAGATTGAAACCCGCGATATAGAGCAGGAGAACAACCCGACCTGACTCGCGATATCGTGGCACTGGGCCCCCTTCCACTCTAAAGAGTATCTCGCTTCGTCTCTCGTAGATAGCAGGACGTGATGATCAATAGCAAGAGCAAACCTCGACAGGCCCCTTCAAATCGTCGTCGCGATGCACACCTCTTTACCCATAGGTAATATCTAAACTTCTGCCCATCAACCCCGCTCGAGTATCTCTTGGCGTTGCGATTTCCACGACAGGAGTTTAGTGTGAACCACTCCGTCGGACACAAGGAGCCTGTCACCGCGCGCCGCAGGGACCAGGATCGTCACAAAATATACCTTTTGTCAACGGATGTAAATTAAGAAGACCAATAGGGCTCCTAGCACAGGTTGCACAGCCGTTGACATCTTTAACAACTTGAGACGAACATCGACGAGGTTGTCCATGTTCACCAATGCCGGGGAAGCCGCGCCGCGATCCACTTCTCGCAGGACCTCATCTTTCAGAGTTTCTGGTGATGGAGTTGTCTCCCCTTAACTGGGAGACTCCTTTACCGGGGATGTGGGATCATCCAAATCGCTGTCAAAGCCTAGGCCGCTCCCGCGCGGTGAGATATAAGTCTCCGTCCCACCCCGTCGTCGCGGGGTGGACATCGTGAGGTTTTCGCCAACTACCTGTACTCACCACAGTCACTCGTTCCGATTCTCGGCATCTACTCACCCAACGCAAATTGAACCGCGAATTTGCAATACCGACGAAAGCCGTAGATATTTGACAGCCTACCCCGAAACGGAAAGCAACAATGGCCCGCTCGACCTTCGCACTCCTTGCCGTGGCAGGCCTCGCTTCGGCTGGCAGCCTCATGGCCCCGCGACAGGATAACGAGACAAAGGCTGCGGTCGACATTACTGCGCTGAACAAGAACGTCTCGGCGACGTCTGGGTCGGGCGCCGTTAGTGCTGCGGGAACGCTGGCGCCGTTTGGGGGGATCGGGGTTGGGGTGTGGGATTAATTGGGCCGAGGGGCAGTCTTTCGGAGGTGAGTTTTAAGAGTCTGGGGAGGTTGAAGAATATTGGGAAATCTCGAGGGTCAGATGTAATTGACAGGATGTTTGGGCGTGGTATTTTACGAGAAAATGCAACACGCAAGAGATGGGATTTGTCGTGATTGTGGAAGTCTCAACAGGCGGAAAGGAGTGGCTTGGAGGGGAGATGAGAAGTTTCAAGTAACCTTTATGACTTCGGAGTGATCCAGTGAGCTGACCAACTCGACATCACAGGTGGCCTGCAATCTGGCTCTGAAGCCTTTGGTCTCGGCGGTGGGTTCACCATCACCAAGGACACGATGAACATTGGTCTGGGTATCGGCATCAACCCGATCAACTTTAACTCCAGGTAAGCAAGAACCAACGCGAACTACCTCACTGCGGCTGGCCACTGTGGTGCCGGGTTCCCTTACGTCCGTAACCTGGACCAGAGGGGTGAAGGGCTGAGGGGGGCACCGAAGGCCCACGATTTCTTATGTTTTCATCTCCTGGAAAAGGTAGACGATGCTGACACCTTGATCAACACAGCGTCAGTTACGAGGCATCGACCAACGGCACTGTGAGCTTGGTATTCACTTCGACTTCGGCGATTAAGTGCGAGGAGACGACTGTTGATGGGGTTAAGGGCGTCAAGTGTACTTCAACCTAATGTGTCTACTTAGGTAGCCTGGATCGTAGTCCATATGCGTTGAGCGTGTTCCAAATTTTGATAACTGCTTGCTATTGATATTCCACCATGTCGTGAGAACCTTAGTGAAGACATGCCCAGCCACATTGAACCATCACGCATAGGCCCGTGATGTGAAAAGAGTATGGCTTGGTACTCGAGTTGAGTGGTTGTAGAGAGTGATTGTAGAGAGTGATTGTAGAGAGGACCTTGAGACCTCGGTACCGTCGTAGCGGGACAACGAGTTTCCCACAACCGCGATGACGGTCCGCTCCTTTGATTACGCTTTTGCAGATTGCACGGGTTCCTGGAATCTGTGGGGATGAGGGTTGGAAGGACCGGGGTACTCAAAGACGTATGCTCAGAGGGTGATTGAAGTCTCTCGATGTCGACGATGACCCAAATTGAATAGTATCTTGGCCACATTATTCCTTTTTCGTGAGGTAGAATGAGTAAGTCTTCATACAGGTCGGAGAACGAGGTGTTCCATCATAACTTCAATTCAGTAAACACGGCTACTTTCTCGGTGTTGACACCCGGCGTGCTCAGTTTCTGAGCCAATAGGTTGAGAGTATGTTGAACAGAATTGAGGACTGTCACAGTGTCAACCACTCAATCAGTAATCTTAGTTAGACTCCATCTTAGTTGAGGTTCAACCATCTACTTGGCAGAGTTTGAGGTCATTCGGAGACCAAGTGAACCGTTTTGTCCAAGCCCTAAAACCCATCTTCGATACCTTTTTGTCCAGTTTACTGATGGTTGTTCTATCTCCATAAGCTATAAGCTATATAACAGACAGACATCCCATGTCTTGGCAGTACTCTTCTCTTAATCCTCCCATCCACAACCCATCTTTACGTCACTACATCTGCATATGCCACTACCCAACTTCCCATACAAACAACAAACAGTCGCTTTTCCTCGACCAACCCACAGTCTTCTCAGAACTCTACTCTCCTAGCCCACTCCCATCTCACTACCGTACTCTCTTAATCTCTCTTCACCTCTCTCTCATCATCCCTCAACCGTAGTCATGTATACCATCATGAATACCAGGACCGCCACTGCCACCACTACCACCACTACCACCATGACGGCGTGTAAGTCAGTCGCCGCAACATTCTTCTCCACCGCCGCCGCCAAGCTCTCCCATCGGCCTCGCCAATACAACACCAAACGGTGTGACGGCGCTGATGGGAGCAGCGACTACGACTTCTGCGCGGTCGAAGACGAGGAAGAGAAAGACAACGAGAAAGAGAACGAGTGCTGGTGGAAAGACTCTTTGACCGAAGACTACGACATGCTGCTGGAATTCCCGAACGAGGAACCCCACCAACAGAAACCTCCCGTTCCCAGCATCATGCTCGCCACCACTGAAGGCAACGTCTTCTTCGGCAATGCCATTCCAGAGGGAACATGGTGCACCGAGCCCCGCGAGTCCTTGAATCTGCGCACACAATACGTCGCCAACGCAGAGACGTTCCTCTGCCCAGGTGACTGGAGGCAGCTTCGCAACGCCTACCGCCTGTGGCAGCAGCAGGAGTATGAGCTGGAGCTGGAGCAGGAGCAGCAGCAGCAGCAGCAGGAGGAGATGGAGTCAGAAGACGAGTTCCTTGACAAACCCCTTCCCGTTCTCCACATCGTCCTCACCACCCCAGAGGGCGACACCCTCACGGGCGACGATATCCCAGAGGGAAAAAGTGCCCAAAAGTCCCAAGCATCTCGGGATCTGCGCAAACACTACGTCGCCACCGCAGAGACGTACCTCTGCCCGGGCAACTGGTTGAAGATCCGCGACAACAACCGCCGTCAGCAAGCAGAAGACGCCGTACTGGCATATGAGAAGCGCGAGGAAGCCTTACACCCCAAGGGCAGCGGCAGCTGGCGGAAGCGCCTCACGCGCGTCAACGCACGCAGCCAACGACGCCGGGCGAGACAGCAGAAGCTCGAGGAAGCGGAGCGGCTCTGGCGGGAGCAGAAGGAGGAGATGGAGGAGATGGAGGAGTTTGTGGCCTGTCGGATGGCCAAGGTTGAGGCGCTCGAGAGGATTGGCGCGGCGGGGGATTTCCCTGCTTGGCGGGGGATTTCCTTGCTTGGAGTAGGAAGATGGATCGGCAGCAGGAGAAGGGGGTGAAGAAGCTCAAGATGCCGAGACAGGAGCTTGAGAAGATATTTGAGGGGGGTTGCGGGGAGCAGAATAAGGGTGAAGAATGAGCATAAAGTGCCTCTCCCTCCAGGTCTTCTTGGGTGCCGCGGGTGTATTCTGCTGGGTAATAGACGGCGAAGATGGCCATGACTTACGGCGTTGACATTACCCTACTTTGATGAATTGACTCCCGTTTACCCCTCGTAATTCTCAACCTACATCCGTGCGATTCTTTCTTCTCCTCAGCTGTGCGCAATGGATGAAGATCTCATACACTTACTTCTCAGAAGCACCTGAGATGGATCAGCGCAGTGATGACTCGCAATTCCGAGGTGGTGGGTAGCGGCCGCTTCGGCGCGGGGATCTGGTAGTCGCGTACAAAGTCGCCTTGATGGGAGGGTGGGAGCGTAGCAGTGATAAAAATTCGACGCGGGCAAATATCTGCCGTTAGCTGCCCCAGTTCTAGCATTCTGGGCCGAAAGCCACTACAGGTCTGGGAATCGAAAATGAGGTGGGCTTCATCCACCACGCACATATCGACGTGTGCGTGGGACTTGAGGTTGGATACGTAGGCCTTCCAGGAGGCTCCGGTGAGGTGCTCCGGTGATAAAATCAGAACAGTCGGAGTGACGGATTGCCGGTGTGACAGTGCCGAATCCTATATTGACGCTGTCACACCCGGCCACGCGGGCGAATTCTTCGACGCGATCAACGACCTCCACGGCCTTGCAGGCCATGCTGCCCCTCGTGGGCCCTCCGTAGATGATGATGACCGTAGACAGCAGTCCAGGCAGGACGGGATCAGACGGTGGAGTCCAATAGAAATGACCCGGTGTCTCGGTTGCTGGGTCTCCATCCCCAAGAGCCATGCGGATGTCATTGTTCCGGTGTTTTCTTGCGAACGATGTGATGGTTATAAAGCCTCGTCGACGTGAATGTCTTGCACGGATTTGATCTGGACTGATTCAAATTAGCGTATCGTCAAGCACTTCCCCTGCAAATTAGCTGCTATATCTGCCTCGACACGGTTCGTCTCGTATTTGATAGTCTCCTTTTGTAGTTTATGGAGAGGTGGCCATTCGTCAAAAGCCTACAATGGAATTTGATACCGAGCGTCTGCGGAGCGGATCGCCTTTGTTTGTCCAGTCGTTGCGCAGGAGTATCCACGTGCTATAATTCGTCCCCAAGTCGTGTTTGCATGTACAAGATATTCATCGTCCGACGCCAGCATATCAGGCTTGCATGCTCATTTAGCTGGGAAGGAGAAGACGGGAGGATGACGACAGTAGGCTTGCTCCCTCCTGTACCCCAAAACTCTAAAGACCGGATGTTCCTTGACTGGTCTTACATGCATCACTAAAGGGGAATGCCAGTGCTTCCGAGGCTTTGCCTGTTAACCCAGCACCAGTCCGGCTTAACAACTTGCACCGATACCAGTGCCTCAGATGTTTGCTGGCCTAGTGATGATGTTCTCTATACAATGCTTCATCCTATCTCATCTTTCGAGACGCCTGGGGTAAAGAGGAGGTTTCTCCATGCAAACGACGTCAGACAGCCAAGCTCATCGTCGATCCAGGGTCCCGGGATGTCTTGGCAGAGCGTCGGTGTCCGGGGAATGCGGGGGAAGGCGAAGCGTTCGTTGGCTGTCTGAGTAGTAATAGGTACCTAGTCACAAGCAGCACAGAATAGCAAACACACCAACCCCCATTTGATTCGATTGAGCAGCGAAACTACTGCACTGGGCTCTGGCAAACAATGGTGATGTTGCTACTACTCGCGTGACTGATATGCATGACGAGAACATCTCAGTGGTGAAAGAGTGGAAAGAGGCAGACCCACAGTCGCACCGGCCCAGGGTCCACCACTGAAGAAAACCCGACCGATCGACCGAGCGGCCAATCCGCGTCGGCCGGCTCCCAACGTCGACCGGGGCGTGCGGGGCCCTGCCAAATGGAAACGCTGCCCGTCTTTTACGGTCTTTCCACATACCTTTCCTTAGGTAGAATTCCATCACCTCACCTTGCCTCTGCTTGTGCCTCTGCTTGCATTTCATCGTCCGATTCGACACCTGTTTCGCACAAGAAAGTAACGTGCTTTTCTTCGCTTCCGTCTCATACCACACCCCAGAGCACTCAAGCACCTCACTCTGGACGACCACACCCACTTCGGGAGTTGCTGCGACTTTGACCATCCCCGGATCTTCCAGCTCGTTCCTGTCCCGTTTTAGCTCTCCCCCGCCATCACTGTGCAGCGACGTCACAATATCCCAGCTACAGCCGTTCCTGTATACACACACTGTCACGAGCTAGCAATCAGAAAGTCGCGTGGTTCGATTTCCGTACCTAGACGAACGGCAGGACGGGGGACTTTAAAGACAGACTTGGTCGCACACCCCGCCGTCTGAAGACACGCCGCTTTTTTGCGGTCTTGCACCCAGCTTGTTTGTCTACCTTACCTTACCTTACCTCTCATCAGGTAGGCCCAATCTTCGTCCCTCACTTTCTTGAAACACAAGCCCCGAGCTTCTTTTTTTTTCGTGCTGGGCTCTGTTCGTATATAAAACCATTCGATATATCCACCTTTTGATATAGATACCTCCCGCCACGACAATGGCACCCGAAGTACTTCAACAATTTGCCGTAGGTGGAGGACTCCCAGTAACCAAGATGCAGGACCCAAAAGAGAAGTTTTACCACCATTTTCAGGAGGAAGTCATCGGTACGTTACGCCCTCCCTGCAATAAGGACCGAAAAGGTCGTCTGGTCTTTCTCTGGGCCGAATACTGACTACGAAATCCCGCACCCAGGTCTACAAGAGCAGATCGACAACGTGAGCTCCCTATCTCAGGTCGGTGGTGAGAGGCAAGATGCCATTGATCACATCCTGGCCGGGATATCAAATCTCTCCAACGAAGTCGCCGACGCTTCCGACTATGTCCCCTCGTACGACCAACGCAACTACGCCCAGGTGGGGTTTGAATCCCAATGACTTCCTCAGCAACGATGAAAGTATCAGATCACAGCTGACACCCCTCACTCACCAGGCCGTCAAAGCTCTCACAGACAAACTGAATGAGACCACGGCAAAGCTGGCCCCGCGTTCGCGCTTCCAATTCAAGCCTCGTGGAGCGAGTTCAGCAACCGCCAACAGCGACCTAGCCACTCCCAAAAATGACCCCCGTCTCATGGTAGGAGCCAGCCTCGCCGACCCCCTACCACCCTCTCGGGGCGGCCCGGTCGTCGCCCCCCCCGACTCAAGCCAGGCTACAGAGACAGACGGCCTCGGCGACCTCCCCAACTTCCCCAAGAACTACAACGAGGAAATGGCCCGGCCGAGCGCCACCAAAGTTCGCAAACCCAGCTTCTCCACCGCAAAGGACATTGCCATCTTCGGCCAGGACGGCCTGCACATCATCCTCCCGTCCTCGGCGTCGCGTGCGACGAGTTCCGGCCGCCTGACCGATCTCAGGGGGTGTGTTGTCGACATGTCCATCGCGCTCTCGGGCCACACCTCGTTTGCGAACCTGGCGCTCAAGAATATCGACAAGAGTCTTGTAGTTGCGGGTAACGTGGCTGGGCCGGCGCATATCACGGGCGTGTCGGATAGTATTATCGTCGTCTCTGCCCGGCAGGTGCGTATCCACGAGTGTAGGAATGTCGATATCTATCTGCACTGCTCGAGTCATCCGATTATTGAGGATTGTTCGAATATGCGCTTCGCGCCGCTGCCGCCTAGCTTTGTAAGTACAATTTACGCACCATACTTTTTCCCCTGATAGTAGCGGCTGCTGACTGCCGAGTAGAATACCACAGAAGACCCTACCAAGAACCAGTGGGATCAAGTAGACGACTTCAAGTGGCTCAAGTCGGAGCCCAGCCCGAACTGGAGCGTCTTGGCAGAGGAAAAGAGGCTGCCCGAGGAGATTTGGACAAAGGTTGTGCCGGGCGAGCGCGGCAAGGATTTGCACGATATCCTCAAGGCTGTCGGGGTTCAGAAGTATTGAGAACCAGACGTAGATTGTTGTTATTCGACCAGGATGTAATAGGGAGAACGTTGCTGGTTGAAGTTTCGGATCCGAGTCCTGGCCAGGAGTTTTAGGAAGGCCGCTATTCTTTCGCAAGGGATGCATGATTACGGTGCAAGAAAATAGCGTCCTTTTTTCGGTTCAAAACTCGACCTTGGTGATTCGCATTTCGGGGGTATCATAATAATTTCAATCTGGCAGAAAAAAAAAAAAAAAAAAAAAAAACCCTTTTCGTGCAACCTCTTTCCCCTCCTCCGCTGGTAGCTTCTCGTAAACGCTCCTTATTCCATCCTTCCTCACATCACTCCGTCTCCATCTTATCCCCCCGTCCCCCCTCCTCATGCCCAAACTTGACCCCCGCGTGCCGTAACCGATCCAGCACCTCGCGCTGCATCCGTATCCTCTCCTCGAGCTCTTTAATCTCCTCCTCCTGCTCGTCGACTGTGCGCTCCATATCCGGGAGCGTGCGCATCTGCGTACGGGCGCGCTGCAGCTTATGCTTCAGGGCATCGGTCTGCGCGGGGACGTCCTTCAGGGACAGCGGCGCGTTGGGGCTGGCGGCGGAACCAAGGGGGTTGGGGGTCGCGCCGGGGCCGGTGCCGGCTGGGGTTGCGCCTGTGGTGAGGCCGCCGACGACGGAGGAGGAGCCCGAGGTTTGGATTGCGGTTCGGAGGCGGGTGAGGATGCCTGTCAGTTCGGTGAGGGTGTCGAGGGCGTCTGGGGAGAGGGTTGGGGGCAGTTCGAGGGGGTGAGGCGGCATTGTGGGTGGTTTCGGGGGCTGTAGATTGAAAGGAGACGTCTGCGTTGGTGACAGAGGTCTGATGAGGATTGTCGGCGAAACAGGTGATTTGTGGAGAGGTGTCGGGCTATTCTCAGCGTCGCGGTAGGTGCGAGATGGAGGATAGTGTTCGTTGGCTGTGTGGTCGAGGCTCCGAAAGTCAATTAAAGCGCAATGTGAAGGTGTTGGTGGGATGAGGTGAGGTGTGGTAAGGTGAGGTGAAGTTGCTCGGTGTGCTCCGCCCACGTCCAGGGTCATGTCAAGCTGGAACGGCAAGGGCCAAGGGGGGGAAAGCTCCGCCGGGGCAAGGAGCTTCCACGGGCGTTTTTAGCGCGGCAGCGATTGGTAGCTAAAAAATTGTTGAAAGTCAACAGAGGGGCAGCCGGGCAGCCCACGCACCGTTTCTGACGGAGATGACACGGTGTATCACACGCTAGATACGGTGGTACATACAGTGTGATTACGGAGTGCAACGGCACGGATCTATTATCGGCGATACTATGACATAACCCCCCACCAAACACTGACACCAGATAAAACAGCCCAGCGCCGGAAAGCTCAGGAAATAGAACAGGTACATTGGCTGGGCTGGGCTGATTCAATCAAATCTCCTCAACCAGCACTTCTCTCACCACCACCGCCGTAAATAAAAGTCTCCATCCCCCGAGAAAATCACGCACTTCCTAGAACTCTCTGCTTTTATCCATACCCCTTCTGTAAAAGAAATTGCTGCACAGAAAATATCCTATTCACCATGGCCAAAACCGACCAGAAGGCCTGCCTGAGTACGTCCAAAGATCTCCCTCCAGACCCTCCAGACCCTCCGTGCCCCTCCGCGAAGCCCCGCGGTGGTGGTGTTGGTGAAGTTGCTGGTGGTGGTGGTGTGAGTGTCGAGACTGGCCACCAAAACCAGAACGCGCCAGCAGAAACAATGCCCTCGCCTCCTCTCCAGCAACCAAAACCCAAATCCAATCCCGATTACATCCTCACCCTTGCCTACATCATCCTCTATCTCCAAGTCGGCTGGCTAATCTTGTGGATCTTGCGTTCCTACAGTCGTGATTGATGGCTGGGGTGTGCCCGGCGCCGACTCCCCCAAGGATGGCGACGCCATTACCAACGCAAAGACGCCCGTCATGGACGACTTTGCCCAGAGCAAGACCGGATACTGCGAGCTCGACGCCTCCTCCATTGCCGTCGGCCTGCCCGAGGGATTGATGGGTAACTCGGAAGTCGGACACTTGAACATTGGCGCCGGCCGTGTTGTCTGGCAGGACGTTGTGCGCATTGATCAGACCATCAAGGAGGGCAAGTTGCCCCACAACGAGGTCATTAAGAAGACGTTCGAGGGTGCCAAGAACGGCAACGGCAGACTGCACCTCTGCGGTCTCGTCTCCCACGGTGGCGTGGTGAGTCCAGATTCTCAACCTATCCTTCCCATTCGAAACTACACGATAGACTAACAACCCATCTCCCTCCCCAGCACGCCAAGCAAGAGCATCTCTACAACCTTCTCAAGGCCGCCAAGCAGTACGGCGTCCCCGAGGTCTACATTCACTTCTTCGGCGATGGCCGTGATACCGACCCCAAGTCCGGCGCCGGCTACATGGAGGAGCTCGTCAAGACCGCCAAGGAGATTGGCATTGGTAAGATCGCCACCGTCGTCGGCCGCTACTACGCCATGGACCGTGACAAGAGATGGGAGAGAGTCCAGATCGCCCTCGACGGTCTGATCAACGGCAAGGGCGAGGAGAGCACCGACCCCGTCAAGACCGTCAAGGAGCGTTACGCTCGCGGCGGTGACAAGGACAAGGACGAGTTCCTGACCCCCATCATTGTCGGCGGCGATGAGGGCCGCATCAAGGGTGAGTGACCCTGCCAACTGGTCCAGGAAAAACTACTAACAGGGATACAGACGACGACACCGTCTTCTTCTTCAACTACCGCTCCGACCGTGTCCGCCAAATCACCCAGGTGCTCGGCGACGTCGACCGCTCCGTCCTCCCCGACTTCAAGTTCCCCAAGATCAAGAACCTCGTCACCATGACCCAGTACAAGGCCGACTACCCCTTCGAGATCGCCTTCAAGCCCCAGCACATGGGCAACGTCCTCGCCGAGTGGCTCGGCAAGCAAAACGTCGAGCAGGTCCACATCGCCGAGACGGAGAAGTACGCCCACGTCACCTTCTTCTTCAACGGCGGCGTCGAGAAGGTGTTCGCCCTCGAGACCCGCGACGAGTCCCAGGACCTCGTCCCCTCCAACAAGTCCGTCGCCACCTACGACAAGGCCCCCGAGATGTCGGCCGACGGCGTCGCCGACCAGGTCGCCAAGCGCCTGGCCGAGCAAAAGTTCCCCTTTGTCATGAACAACTTTGCGCCCCCCGACATGGTCGGCCACACGGGCGTGTACGAGGCCGCCATTGTCGGCGTCGAGGCCACCGACAAGGCCATTGGCAAGATTTACGAGGCCTGCAAGAAGGAGGGCTACGTCCTCTTCATCACCGCCGACCACGGCAACGCAGAGGAGATGAAGTTCGCCGACGGCAAGCCCAAGACGTCGCACACCACCAACAAGGTGCCCTTTATCATGGCCAACGCCCCCGAGGGCTGGAGCCTCAAGAAGGATGGCGGTGTCCTCGGTGATGTCGCGCCTACCGTCTTGGCTGCGATGGGTCTGCCCCAGCCTGAGGAGATGACTGGCGCGAACCTGCTGTCCAAGGCATAAATGAAGTTTTTTTTTTTTTAGTTTTTTTAACCTTTTGTGTTTTGGGTCGGGCGGGATGTGGTTGGCGGAGTTGAGGTGAGGGTGTGTGTCTTTGGCGAGCGGGTTTTCATAGGGGAGAAAACAAAGTTGAGAGGGTGAGTGCCGGCGTGTGTTGTAAAGGTTTATGATGACAATAGACAACCCTAAAGTTATAGAAAATGAGAACACGCTTTGATGACAAGATGTGTTCAGAATGACTGACTTTTTCGCGTCATGGAAGGTTGAACGGGGTGCAGAATCTTGGCTAGGACCAAGGCTGTGATGGGGGTGTCATTGCATGACAACGTGAACTTGGCATACCCCAAGGTCATTATTCCTGGAGCAATATCCGGATGAATGTGGGGGGCAGTCGTTGAGTACTAGCCGTGGACGTAATGTCTCTGTTTGGGAAAGACTCTCGAGTTTCAGGAGTTTGAACTGCAAGTTACACCAAGATTGTTTCCACTACCCTTTCTAGCGACACAACCTTTTGCGCTAGCCCACTAGGGTTTTCAAAATCACGATTCCCAGAAATGATATGAAGGAATGGAAGGTTGGTCCGAGACTTTTGTCGTTGGAGCATTTTAAAGCCTTGCTGAAGTTGTGTAGCGCCGCCTTGATTGTTCTCGTTGCGCAATGTCCCATCGCGAATGTTCATCTTATGGATACGGATGTACGTTGAAACAAATCACGTAGACATCAAGACTTTACGCCCTCGGACTTTCAGAACCTTATACTTGACACGTTGTATGGCAGATGAAGTGTGGGGTTGATACGCAGGTGGTGCCCGTGGGCTGATTGTTGTGTGTTCCTTTTAAGAACCCTCTTCGCTGTAGGGCTTGATTTAGTGATACAAGTAGACGTACATATCTCTAATTCTTCCCGCGTAACACTCTCTTGACATGGGGCGAGAGGTGTTGCAGGAGGTGTTCCCTCTCAAAGCGCAGAGGAAAACACCTACCTTAGGTGAGGTAGACAAGAGCATGAGTCTAAAGACAACTCCACTCAGCCGTCTACGACTACAGCCGAGGGGACTCCTAGGTTGTTACGATTACCTAGTCTGTACGACTTACTGGGCCTTTATTGGTCAAGCTCCAAGTTTCACTTACCATTATACTCTTGTAATACGCGGATAGTATGGTACGAGGCATGCCATATTTTCCGCTACATACTACCTTAGAGGAATTTACTTTGAACTTGACGTTAGGCTTTTGTATCATGAACGCCAGAACTAGTTTGCATCACTTCTGACATCGTGACTTTCTATTTGAGTTTCGTGATCCCCACAGTATTATTCTTCAGCCCAGGCGGAAACTCGATAGACCGGGGTGAGAGTTCAAAAACATGGTTTCGACGACTCCATGATTCCCCATCAAAGTCAAAATCGACGACTACTAAAAGAGATGATCGCAAATTTGGAGAGGCAAGAGATAGAGGCAAGGTAGAATGTCTTTCAAATGTATATCATCGCCTGCTTAGACTATTTCAAAATGGCTAATACGTCATGACGTGGGTTCCACCGTCAATAGACCAAATGTCCCCGGTAATGTACGCCGCATCAGGCGAAATCATAAAGGCCAACAGCGCGCCAACCTCCTCCAGCTTGCCCAGTCTGCGGAGCGGGACCCTCTTCAGACCCTCCTGCATAGCCGGGCTGGCGGCGCTGATGCCCCTCTCGAGGGCGGCCGTCAGGATGGGGCCGAGGGCGACGGTGTTGCAGCGGACGTTGTCCGGGCCGTAGGTCGCCGCCGTGTGCCGGCTGAGGGCGTGCACGGCGGCCTTGGAGGCTGCGTAGGCTACGCGGATTGGTTCCGGTGTGCCCATGTAGTGACCACCCATCTTTACGTTTGTCAGTTCTCTTATTTCTCCTTTTCTTGTTTGTTTTTTTCAACATGTGATGGGGAGAGGGGTTGACTTACACTAGAAATGTTGATAATCGTACCGCCCCCCGCTGCCTTCAGATGCGGCAGCGCATACTTGGTCGTCAAAGCATACCCCGTAGTATTCACCAAAAACGTGCGCTGCCACACCGCGGCATCCATATCGAGCACCGACTGATTTCGTACAGCTTTACGAGCTAAACACAATGCTTGCTGTGCAACCTGTGCTGCTGTGCTGTTACAACTTACAGACAAGTTAGTTAACAAGGCAGACTGGGGATCGCATCGTTACACCCCCGGCAATGCGGAACCGAAACCGAGACCGGGGCAACGTCTCTACTCTTTAGGCCTTTGTGGTTTCATTGGCGCGCGGGCGAGGAATTAACAACGCTTTTTCCCGCCAAATGCTGGTTCGGCCCAAGAGCTTGGCGGGGGAGTCGATCACCCAAGCTTGACGGATAGCTCCCCCTCCAACTCCTGTCCCTGACTCTCCTGCAAGATATGCCTCGAAAAACCACACGCCATGCTATTGCTGCGGCACATGTATCGCACCTTTTTTGCATATCTTTATTATACGCGGATAGCCTGAGCAATTAGAATGCGGTCTCGAAGCTGGTATGACCCAATGAGAGAGAGCAGCAAATCGTAATCCTACCCCCCCTTTCCTTCGCCGAGGTCGCGTTTGCCCAGGATCCCCCTCTTGCTTTAAGCTACCCAGTCCTACTCATGGGATAGGAACCGAGAAAAGGCAAGGCAGTGCAAGTTGCATATGCGAAAAGAAGGTTTGGGCAAGCTCATCTGAACCGTGCCTTGTTGAACAAGACCTGTACCTGTCACCCTATGTTTTGATGAGACGGCTTGGACGTAGAGTCCGAGGAGGTGGAAGCGAGGAAGGGGAAGGGGGGGGGGGGGGGGGGGGGGGGGATTGGACGAAACGAGTCCAACGACTTATATAAAACCACCAAGGACGTCTTCTCAGACTCCCTGACGAAGAAACAACGACTCTTTCCCTATTCTACCCCCTCCTTATCGTAAGCTTGTTTCCCTTTCGACCAGCTCTTACTTCTTCCCGACAACGCTTGATCCCTTCTTGCAACCATGGCGGATTCCTCGAGCGTGGCGACCGCAGTCGCCACGCTGTTGGAGCGCTTCAGCTCGACCTCCTCCGTCAAGCTGATTGCCTCCGCCGTGCCCCTCGTCTTCACGATCCTGATGGTCATTGACAAGTTCGTCTCCGCGCCCGTGGATCCCCGCGAGCCCCCCGTCGTCAAGGGTCTTCTCCCCATCATCGGTCACTGGATCACCGTGAGCACTTCGTACTCGGGTGTCTACGAGAAGCTGGCGTAAGTAAACTTCCGTATCGTCTTTGACCGGATACGCCTTTCGGGGGCAATACCCATTAGAGGTCATCACAACCAAAAACACGGCACTAACACCAACTCCCACCGCACACAGCAAACGCACAAAGCTCCCCATCTACACAATCCCCGTCCTCGGCAAGAAAATGTACGTCATCAACAGCGCACCCTTGGTCCAGAGCGCCATGCGCAACAAAACGCTCGAGTTCGGCGCCCGCATCGAGGAGATTGGCCGCGCCATGGGCATCGACCCGGAAGTTACCCACCGTCTCGTGAAAGAAAACGCCGTCGAGGAGATTTCCCGCGTCACTATCTCGGCCCTGTCCGGCGAGAACCTGCTCAACCTGAACCTGAGCGCGCTCGACTACATTGGCAGCCGCTTCAACGAGGTCAAGCCCGGTAGCCCCGAAAAGATTGATGATGTGTTTCACTGGGCTCGTGGATTGATTGGTGTTGCGACGACGAGGGCTTTATATGGCGAGCGTAGCCCGTTCAACAACTTGGAGCTGGTTGACGCTATCTGGTACGTAAACTCTTCCTCCCTATCCTATTACCAGCTTCTGCTGTTTTACCTGTGGATATCCAGGACTGACATCCCCGGCGCAGGACATACGAAAGCGGCATGGGCAAGATGCAATACGGCTGGATCTCCAAAATCATCGCCGGCAAAGCCCTCGAAGCTCGCAAAAAGATCGTCACGGGCCTCGTCGGCTACTATATGCGCAAAATGGACCAGGGCCCAACCGTCTCCGCCACCATCCGCGGCCGCGCCGAGTTCTGGCGCGGCTTCGGCCTCTCGGACATCATGCTCGGCGCCATGGACTCCCTCCCGGCCGCCTCGACCGTCAACACCGCGCCCTCCATGTTCTGGCTCATTGTCAACGTCTTTGCGAACCCCAAGTACCTCGCCCGCGTCCGCGAGGAGGTCGAGGCTTCCGCCGCGCTGGCCATAACTGCTGAGGGCGGCAAGCGCGTTGCTACGATTGATGTTACGGAGCTGGTTAAGTCGTGCGCGTATGTAGTGGCGTGTTACCGCGAGACGCTGCGCTCGGAGAATACTGTTACCGGTAGCCGGACTGTCACGAGCAAGGATACGACTATCACGGACCACGAGACGGGAAGGCAGTATCTCCTCAAGGAGGGTGTCGAGGTGCAGTGGAGCGCGTCCGTGATGCACAAGAAGCCCGTCTGGGGTGAGGATGGCGAGGCGTTCAACCCGGAGCGGTGGCTTAAGAACACGCCTGAGATTGCCAAGGGGTCCAAGGAGTCGTTTGTGCCGTTCGGTGGTGGCAAGCATCTTTGCCCTGGTCGCAGCTTTGCGTTTGCCGAGTTGTTGGGCGCGGTGGCTTGTTTGGCTGTCGGATTCGAGCTTGAGGGCGTGCAGGTGCCGGATCATGAGATGCCGTTTTCTACTTCTGGTCTTCGATCGCCTATTTATGGAAGCAAATCTAGCAAGGCGACTCTTTCGAGGCGGGCTGGTTGGGAGGATGTGGAGTGGAGATTCAAATAGAGGATCGAGGTGTTTCTTGGCAAGACGTGTAGGGCTTTCTAGGGGTTGATATATATGACTGGCGTAGGATAGGGGCCCATTCTGTCCATAGCTATAAGACTGAGATGAATACCATCAGAAATTTCGTTCTTATTCAGTCTTGACCATCACAGCTCAGCTCGCAGGATGATTGTGTTATCTCGACATGTTGCGTGGCTTAGACCAGAAGAAACGCGGTCTCGGCGAGTTCAGGAGCGTTGAGCCGTCGTCTCAGCTTTGAATCCAGCTCCTCAATATCGTTTGGATTATCTCCCCAACCACGCGCTTCGTCGCCCCAATTCATGATGCCAGCAGTATAGCAGCTCCCGACCATTGTGAAGCGGTGCACACCCATGATGCTCTCCATCTGATGGACCCTCGAAGACTCAGTGCAGATTGTTCCGACGTGTTTCCTCAGCACGTAGGGCATGAGTCTGCCTTCAAGAACGCAGAGTTCATCCCCCATACACATGCTGCCCGGGCCCAGCCCGATTTGGCCTCGGTCGGTAACGAACAGCCGGTCTCCGGCAGCCATGGTTCGGACAGTATCCTCCATCCAAGAAAGATCATTTGCCTCAGACCGCTCTTGCAAGTCGTAATCCTTGAGCAAGCGGATGAGTATGTGTGATTCACCGCCATCTAGGTCATTGCTCCACGACTGTTCATCGCCAAGTGCCGTCGAAGCTTGGAACCATATTTTGGGCACTCCCTTTGAGGATATAGCGTCAACTTCACATCCTTCAGGACATCTCGCAGCCGTGTCAGCGAAATCGCCCGGGAGATCTTGGCAATGGCTCGCTGGCTTGAGCGCTCCCACATAGTGCCTAAAGATCCAGTAGGAAACTTTTCGTCGTTGCCTAAGTTTCATTGGCAATAAGTATCTTTGATGTTCATTTGGAATCCACATAGACATGGAGAGGCAGTCTGCGATGATCTCAAGGAACGGTTTTCTGTAGAAATGCCGGCTTTTTTGTCTTCCGAAAATTGCCCGAATCTGGAAAATGGCCTGACCAATGTTTGAGAGATCATTCCGAATGACCTGGCTGACGGTATCAATGACGCCGCAAGCTACGCCTTTGAGAATTAGGGCAGATCGCTGCCTCTCTTCTTGAAATGGCGGGCCTGACGTATATCTGATCATAGTGGGGAGGCAATGGACTGGCTTCCGCCGGTCTACGTCTGCACTGAGCAGCCCATCGAGATGTTTTCGAGGCAGTAAGTGCTTAGTTGCAACTTGCCGAGAGTTCGATGCGGTTTGCCGAAACCGTGCCCGGCTTGCGTTGAATTTGAAAGATGCCTCCTCTGAAGACGATGTCGTCTGTCATCGAAACCAGGAACCATGTAATCGGAAGACCAATCTGGCACCCAAGAGGGAATATCTTTGCGGCTCTTAGCAAGTAGGTCTTGAGTAGTCATCCAGAGGAGACCAGTGTCGCGGATGATCTCGTATGCTGCGTGAGAAAAAAGCTCCCTAATGTCAACCTCGTAGTCAACCTCGATCCACAATTTGTTGTGTTGGAACAGATTTTCCTTTTTCATATGCTCGGCAAGTTGAAGAAGCGCAATTATCTTGTCGCGCGGCTCCGAGGACTTGCGATTGCGGAATCTTCTTAGAAGCCACAACAGAGAGTTGTTCGTAGTGAAGTCCACCATGCTGCCAACCATGCCCAACCCGAGGCCAGCAGGGCTGATAGCGTCTGCTTTACCTGACAGGAAGGTAATGACTTTGGTTAAGTCCGAGTAGTGTGTTGCGGGTGATTGTAGGAATGTCCGAGTCGCGTTTCCAATGCAGATAAAAGGGATCGAAGCACGGCCATAAACAACAGTAAGCTGTCGAGCGACGCATGCCTCTTGGACAATCCACATCCGATTCCACCAGTCGCTTGTTGCAAAATGTCGCATTCGTTCAGAAACCAGTGGCAAGTGTGCCTCTTTGAGCATTGGCTTCACGTCTTTCTGTCCCAACGACTGAGCCGCTGAAGCCATGCGGTCAAGAGGACTTCTGGAGAGTTCCACAAGAAGACTGTATAGACACATGATCTCTTCATGATCTGTCAGTGACCCCGGTCGAGAATCTTTCCACTTGTCCCAGAGCTTCAGGTGCTCCGTACTCAAGGTGTTCCCATAGGTCCGGGTCTCCATATTCCAGCCGGCCGCAAGCAGTCTCCGGGATTCGGCCTCACTCATTGCGCTGAAAATGGTCCGGGGGTTCTTCCCTAATTTTTTCAAAGCGAGATGAATAGTCTCTTCGACTTCGATCCAGGCCATCTCCGACGTAGGCAATGACTTCCGTGGCCGAGCCAAAGATATCGCGCATCAAACCGACTTGTTGACCTTTTTCGGCTGCATCATCTTGATTGATGCATAGGGAGTCGACCCAGAAAGTTGCGGGTTCTGTCTGTTTTCGAACAGCACGCAGGGCCCTGTCCAAATTGAAAGTGATCTTGTGGATCTTGCCGTTGACGGTGATTTGGTTTGATCGCTTCGAACCCCCCCATGCATATGATAAGGCTTGGTACTCATGATCTCGATCGGCCACATACAGCCTAGATTCGAGGTCGTCGAGCCATTCTCCTGGGAGGAGCTGAATTAGTCGAATCTCAGTGAGGGCAAGTTTCTCGTCACACGTGAACGTCGACATCATCTGAGCCAAGCAAGTAATGAACAAGCTTTTCTAGTGGCTAAATTGATGGGCGAGGGCGAAATTCCTTTTTTAATGGCAAAAGAAGGCGATGAAGTAGGCAGACACAGGAGAGGCCGCCAAGTCAGCCTGCATCCCGCGAGGCCGCTGTTTGGCGTGATAACATTCTTTCGAATTGTCGGGATCAGCTCATAGAGGCATGCCGCGTCGTGGAAAGGTTAGAGAGAAAGCACCGATATCTCAGGCTGTCATCATTAGTATGTTCGATGCAAGGGTGTAGCAAGAAACCAGGATATCATTCATCCTCGTAAGCTAGGTCTGGCAGTCGGCGATTTCATACACATCAAGAGAACGAGAGGAATTGGTGATGTTGAATTTGCGCCTGGGTTTTGGCGGGGAACTGGACAGGGGTCTTGAGTACCCCTCCTCAATTACATAATCCAGCTAAGGTAAGGCAGCCACACCTTGGTCCGTGCCCGGGGAACATCACGAAAGGCTGCAATAATTTTTTGGAGCTCCAGAAGCTTCTTGGGCCACGAACAGCACAAGTACAGCCTCCCCCCGCGACGACAAACGAATCCCGAACATACCGTCGAGTGTATCCCCTACAGCTGTACTCGTCGCATCGAAATCGCCCAAAATGTCGTTCGGAGGCCAGACCCCGACCATTATTGTCCTGAAAGAGGGTGCGCTACCCCACCGCCTTCCCCTTGCCGACCTGGAAACTGTGACTGACGAGCATGTTGCGCAGGAACCGATACCTCTCAAGGCAAGGGTCAAATTGTCTCCAACATCAACGCTTGCTTGGCTGTCCAGGCCACGATCAAGTCTACCCTTGGTCCCTATGGAGGTGACCTTCTGATGGTTGATGCCAACGGCAGGCAGACAATCACCAACGATGGTGCTACTGTTATGAAGGTTGGAAGGACCACTAGGATCAGTTTGAGAGTGTCATACTGACGCGTATGTAGCTCCTCGACATCATCCACCCCGCAGCCCGAATCCTCGTCGACATTGCGAGATCACAAGATGCTGAGGTCGGTGACGGCACAACGTCCGTCGTCGTCTTGGCTGGAGAGATCCTGAAGGAGATCAAGGAGCACGTCGAGCAGGGCGTCAGCTCCCAGGTTATTATCAAAGGTCTGCGGAGAGCGTCTATGATGGCCGTCAACAAGATCAAGGAGATCGCTATCGACACCAACGAGAGCAACAGAAGGGAAACGCTCGGCAAGCTGGCGGCTACCGCCATGACGAGCAAGCTGATTAAGCGCAACACCGAGTTCTTCACAAAGAGTAGGTTTCGATGCGCTCATCTTGTAGCCCATATGCTAATGCGGCGCAGTGGTCGTGGACGCCGTCCTCTCCCTGGACCAGGACGACCTGAATGAGAAGTTGATTGGCGTAAAGAAGATTCCCGGCGGTTCCCTCACCGAGTCACTATTCGTCAACGGTGTCGCATTCAAGAAGACATTCTCCTACGCCGGTTTCGAGCAACAACCCAAGTCTTTCGAGAAGCCCAAGATTGTGTGCTTGAACGTCGAGTTGGAGCTCAAGGCTGAGAAGGACAACGCCGAGGTCCGCGTCGAGCAGGTGTCCGACTACCAGGCCGTTGTCGACGCTGAGTGGCAGATCATCTACAAGAAGTTGGAGGCTATCTACAAGACGGGCGCAAAGGTTGTGCTCAGCAAGCTGCCTATTGGCGACTTGGCTACCCAGTTCTTTGCAGACCGCGACATCTTCTGCGCTGGTCGCGTCACATCCGAGGACATGGAGCGTGTGGTCCAGGCCACCGGCGCCACCGTCCAGTCCACATGCTCAGATATCCTCGCGGAGCACCTGGGTACCTGCGGCAGCTTCGACGAGCGCCAGATCGGAGGAGAGCGTTTCAACTTCTTCGAGGGCTGCCCCGAGGCCAAGACCTGCACACTCGTCCTTCGTGGCGGTGCTGAGCAGTTCATCGCCGAGGTCGAGCGCTCGTTGCACGACGCCATCATGATCGTCAAGCGCGCCATCAAGAACCACACTATCGTCGGTGGCGGCGGTGCCGTCGAGATGGAGGTCTCTGCATACCTCCACCGCTTCGCCGACAAGAACATCCCCCACAAGCAGCAAGCCATTATCAAGAGCTTCGCCAAGGCTCTCGAGATCATCCCCCGCCAGCTCTGCGACAATGCCGGTTTCGACGCGACCGACATCCTCAACAAGCTGCGCGTGGAGCACCGCAAGGGCAGCACCTGGGCCGGTGTCGACTTCATCAACGAGGGCATCGCCGACATGATGGAGCGCTTCGTCTGGGAGCCGGCGCTGGTCAAGATCAACGCCATCCAGGCCGCCACCGAGGCCAGTTGCCTCATCCTCGGCGTCGACGAGACGATCCGCAACGAGGAGAGCGCGCAGCCCCAGGCCCCTGGTCAGCAGCTGCCCCCGGGCGCCGCACAGCGCGCTCTGAGAGGTAGAGGACGGGGTATGCCTCGTCGGTAAGGAGGGGAGGTTTATGACCGGGTTAAATGAATGAGAATCAAAAAAGGAAATCAAAATCAGGAATCGATGAAATGGCGTCTGTATGATACCTAGAACTGGTCCCCAGGGGCTTTGGCTTTAAGAAGTCCGAATAGACTGGGTCATTTGTCGTCTGTCATGAACACCTACTCTCCAGTCGGGGGCAGCCTTTGAAAAGCCACGGCCTGAGCCATTGTGTTGAAACCTAAGCAGGTGCTGAAAATTCTGTGAAGCTCCCTCCAAGGTCTTGGCTTTCTAATAGCCTGTTTTGACTTAAGCAAGGTCAGGTATCAGCTCTGGGAAGGTATCAAACGTGCAGTAAACATGCCCTCTCCATGCTACTCTGCAGACCATACAAGGGGGACTTCAATCAAAGCCTGTGGAGGTGTCAAGAATGCAGTGAAAGCTGGGTCGCTGGGTCGCCTTTCGTTTAAGTGGCCTCAAATTCGGCGAACATGGTGGTCGCCTTACGCCTTAAGTTGCCTCTCTCTGTGCGAGTCACCGCCCAATTGACTTCGATCTTTAAATCTGGACTTCAATCAAAGCCTGTGGAGGTGTCAAGAATGCAGTGAAAGAGTGAAGCTGGTGGTGGTCGCGCCTTATTGGACGCCCTGCGCTGGTTCTAAAGTTGGCGAGCAGAGATTGGTGGTCACCTTGCGAGATGTTGTCCAACTTACAGTCTTTGACTCCGGGAATCAAAGCCTAGGGCGGTGTTTAGAATGCTATGAAATTCGGAGGTTTTTGATGTCCCATCGGCGCATCCACTCAGAACCCCCCCCCCCCCTTCTATTGCCATGTATACACTACGATGAACAAGCTAGCGTGTAGCCTCAGCAGACTTCCTAACTAGTTATTGCTAACTGATCCTCCGATGATAGACAGCATCTGGCGGTAATGCAGAGTTGGAATTGAGAGACTGGTGTGCCCATGGGAGGACCAGACATCTCGGTAATACATCTCAATGTGAGCTTCGGAAGCTGGCGCAGGTGCCTCTGAAAACATGTCACGGAGAATAAGAGTGTACAATCTGACATTCACAGTCTCTGGACTTGGTGTGTATTCGATGACCATCTCATCTCCTCCCAGACGATACCTCTCGAGAGTATCTCCAAAGCTTTCATCTCCCACACCCGAACCTTGAGCCTCCGGCCGGTCGGTGAGAAAATCCAAGCACTCGAAGAAATCCTTCTACTCGGAATCCTTATATCGTATAAGCCAAATCCCAACACATGCTCATCGAGGGCTGAGGATAGAAAAGGTGATACTAGGTCCGTGGGGAGACTTGCTCCATGACTTTGATACTTAGCCCCCTGGTCCTCTCCATCTTGTAATTATCTTGGAGACAGCAAGAAATGCAGCAAGGTCGGTCTCGGTCAGGCGAGGGACCAAATATGTGAGTACATGTAGGAGGCCAACTGTCTAACAGGTCACAGCCCGGGGGTGCGTTAAAATTGCAGTGAAGGAATTTCATGTCCCTGGGTAGGTAACTCGGAGTGAATGTGCATTTCATTGGCTCGATATCCAAGCCTCCCCTCCCATCCCAAGATTGATCTTGAAGACAAGATAATACCCGTCATTATTGTATATGAATTCAAAATCTTCTCTACAAAACCCTCGTGTGCCATTAAGATTACAGTGAAGCTGTAATTCATTGGCTCATGCCCGCATGTCATGGAGGTGACCAGACGGTCATAATGATTTCACATCTAAGCACCGCCCTCCTCACCGCCCGTCGCCCGGGGCCAACGACTGGAATGTACACCCCAACCGATTCAGCTGTACAAGGAAGAGGCAGCCCAGTCGAACAGCATCGAGTCCTTCTCTTGTCTCTCGGGGGCTTATTCTCGACGCTCGACACACTGCCACCTTTGTTGAAGATGTTTTGCATTCCGCAAGGTGGAACCCCGAGGTCACACGCACCGGCTCCCATGACGAACTTTTCATCCACCCAGGAATGTGATGTAAAAGTCGAACATAGGAGAAAAGAAAAGTCTCATAGCCGCTGTTGGCGCTGTTGGCGAGTCACATAATGTTGGAAAAGGCACGTTGATTCACAATCACAGTCACGTTTGGTCAAGTAGTTTCAAATCCATCCCAAATTTAATTCATCGTATCTCTTCTATCGCGTAATCCCAGAACCCAACCGTGGCGAAAGGCACACTCGGTCGCCCAGCGCCATAAAATGTCGGGTTCATGTTCATTCCAAATCCCATTGCCGTATACCAGAAAAATAAAAGCCAGAAACCGCCGCTGATCGCCGAAAATACCCAAGTCATTACCGAAGAAACCCCCCTAAACCGAACATTTTGATACCCCATTGTGATAGTACATCCGTCCAGCGAACGAAGAGCGTCGCGATAAACCCGTCGTCATTACATGGTCCCGTGGCGGGTGCTGAGAAAGACCAAGATCAAGCACAAGCGTAAAGCGTCATAACGTACACGTTGCTGAAGAGAAGAAGTCGTGACACCGTCCTACACCTTTCCGAAAGGGAACCGTTTCGCCAAAGAGAGTGTTATCCATCATGAGCTGCCGAAGAAAACGTCATCGTTGTTGGTGAACATGTTGACTGGGTCGTCGAATTCTTCGTCAAACTTGCTCATCATGAGCATGTTGGACTCACGGTCAAACTGAACTAGTCCATCTTCGGTTGTGAAAGCCTTCATGTTCATGAATTCTTCATCGGGATCGCCGCCCAGGCCCAGGCTTGAGATGCTGGTGTTGCCGATGGGACCAGCATTGCCTCTCATTCCAGCCAGCAGCGAATCATCGCTGAAACCAGAATGGTTGGGCTCGGCGTCGAAGAACTGATTGGGCGGTGGCGATGAAGACTGGGAAAGTTCCGGGGGGGTGTTGTACTCGCTCTTTGCTGGTGATTCTGGTTGCTGGGGCAACGAGACGGGTGCCTCCATCAGGGCCTCCGGGGACACGTACTCGGAATGGTGGCTCGCAGCCGGGGAAGTCTCCAAGTGCGAATGCCGGTGAAGGCGTGGAGGAGAGGAAGGCATAGGTGCGGATGAGCTTGTGGTGATTTGAAGGGGCATGTCGAAGTTTCGGCGTTCGTCCATGTCGCCCATCTCGAATTGGTCGTCAGACATCATGAAGTCGTTCTCGGGGGAGTTGACCGCAGAGCTATCTGAGTAGCCGGACTGCGATGAGGTAGAGGCGGTCGACTTGTTCTTGGTCCTTGTGCGAGCCGACTTGTTGACGCGCTCGTCCATCTCGGGGCGGTGCTTGCGGGGACGGCCGCGCTTCACAACCTTCTTGACGATACCATCAAACGCTCCAATGCACATGCCACGTTGGCGATGGCGAGTAAGAGCATCGTGGCGGGCAAAGCTGTTGCCGCATTCGCAGGGGTAAGGCTTGATGCCGGTGTGGATCTTGGCATGTCGCTTCAAGTCGTGCTGGCGAACGAAGCACTTCTTGCATGAAGGGCATTGGTATTGGCGGTCGTTCAAATGGGTCTGAACGTGGGACTTGATGTTTTCCTTGCGTCCAAACTTCTTACCACAGTCCTCGAAAGTGCAAGTCCATTTGCCATCTGCGGCATCGGGCCCAGTGATGTAGTTAGCAATGTCATCAAGTGTGACGCCGGTTTCAGTCTTGGTTTCCTCAATGTTGATGCTTGCAATGCTCGCGGCACTGGCAATGCTGGCAAGAGACTCGGTACGGCGATGAGGTGAAGAAAGGCGAGAATCATCAAAGGATCTGTCGTCAAAGGATCTGGAAGGCGAGATAGAACCGATGGTCATGTTGGGGTGGTGGAGATCAGGCCGGTTGTCAAATGCACTGTGGAAGTTCATGAGAGGAGTGTGAGGAGTCGAGTGCTGGGACATGTCGGAAGAAACTTGGAGATCGTCAGAGAGGCCGTCGTAGCCCGGAACCTCCTGGATCTTCAGGAACTCGTTGTTGAAGTTGTTCATGTTCATGAAGTCCGCAGTCGGGACAACCTGGTCGTACAGACCATGGGGGATCTGGGGTTGTTGTTGAGGGACCGTCATGACGTTCTGCTCCGACTGCTTACGCATCTCCTCAAAGATATTCTGAGTGCGTTGGTTGGACTTCCTCACGGGCTTGAGAGTCTCCTCCATGGACTCGTCGTATCCCTCAGCGAATCGACTCGGCCTGGCAGACATGGGCTCGTGCTTGACGGCCCTGTCGTGGGGTGTCTCCATTGGTGTTGGGGGGAAGTAGTCTAGATGATGTAAGTGACTGAATGACGATGAGTTTGGCGAGAACGTACTGTTTGCATCCTGGTGTGGTGGTGTCATTGGTCTTTGCACCTGCTCAACGCCCATAGTCTCGAATTTGTTGACTCTGTCCATGATGCCGTTGCTGATTCTCCGTGAAGACCGTCTTGTGCTTGCAGTCTCGTCCTCTGAGATCCAGCCCTGAGGGGTGTTGGGAGTGTCGCTAAAGTTCATGAACGAAGGGGTCGAGAGAGCACTGTCAGAGCCAAAGAGCTCAAAGTCCTTGTTGCCTCCCATGTTCGCGCCGTAGACCTGCTGGCCCTTGGCCATCATGTCGTTCATCTGGTTTCCATACTGGTTGTACTGGATGGGAGACGAGTCGAAGCATGTGGCGTCGAAGCGCTGTGCCTGGGGCGTTCCATGGGGGGACATGAGGTAGTTTTCATGGTCATTGGAGGCCATGTACATTTGCTGTCTCCGGTGAATTTGTTGTTGTGAGTGTTGTCGAAGGTGTGCCTGCTGGCGGGGGCCCGGGCGTGCTTGAAAGCGTTGCTGCTGCGCTTCTCGCAGTACATGCTGCGGTTGTGCTAGTCCTGTGTTAGTAGTCATACTTACCGGTGCAAAGTCCTGCCTTCTTGTGTCCAGGCTGAGGCCTCGGCGGTGGCCGAGAGCTCGTTGACGCTGGACATTTGGGGGCAAGGGCTGGATCTTCACTGCTTCGAATGCCGTCGGTGTCGAATTTTGGCGTCGGTGTGCTCTGTGACGGGCATGAAGATTGCTGGTTTGGGTGTTATTGGACAGCATTGTGTCGCAAGGTTGAGTCCGGAAGGGATTGTCGTCGGTCGGTTGTTGTCGATGGGAACCTATGGGTCCGAAACTGGAGGGGTGTAAGTTAGCTTTGGTTGTGATATTGGTGTTGCGACGGCGAGACTTACCTCACGCAGCGCAAGCAGAAGTGCC